TTGAGCCAATTACTAAAGAAGGACTCTGGGCTCGGCATCCTGTGTAGAAAACCTGAATCAGGGTCTGAAAGATATTTTTGGAAAAGCCGCGTAGCGGCTTTTTTAAGAACGAAGCCGCTTCGCGGCTTCGCCAATATTTAAAGATAGATTGAAATGGTAATGTTCCGAAGCAGTTTTGCGGCTTCGTTTTTAAAAAAGCCGCTACGCGGCTTTCCTAAAATATCTTTCAGACCCTGATTCAGGTTTTCTACACAGGATGCAGAGTCCAGGAAAGAGTTCCTTGGGTGACGACATTTTAGGTCGAAATAAAGAAGACCGATAAATTATTTACTCGAGTACTTATAAACAGGTTGGGCTAATATTAGCGAAATGCTTGAGACCTGGCGAGGTAAACTTTTCCTGCCTCTCATCTCCGCCCCAACAGCAGGCTTTTTGAAGTCCGTCCGGCAAATCCGGCGCTGTTTACGGTTAACCCCTCTTGAGACACATTTTTTTTCGAAAATTCTTCTTTTGCATTTTTAGGGATTTTCCCTTTTTCGCGCCGAATTAACACAAACAATTCTTTTCCCCTTCCCACGCTCTTACAGAAGTCCACCTGTGCAACTTTTAGGGCGGGCTGTTTTAATCTCGAGGTTCACTACTTAGACTTCTTCAATTATGTATTAAATGTCAGCAGGTAGCTCGGAAACTCGCCGCCCGGATCAATCAGAAGTTTCTTTTGAACTCGCATCTGTTTCGATATATTAACATGTATATTTGATTTTTGATTATTTTTTCTTGCATCCGAGTTAAATTTATTTAAGCGGCGGGGTCTTTTATTAGGGTTAGGCTAAGATTGTCTGAATCAGGAATTGAAAGCTCTTCAATGAGAAGCCGCGCAGCGGCTTTTTTCTTGGTCAAAGTCGCGAAGCGGCTTCGCAAAACTATCATTTCAATCTTATGTTGAATTCTGGCGAAGAATTCTGCGGCTTCATTTTTTAAAAGAGCTGGTTTGCGGCTTTTCAGGCGCTGACTGAGAAAGCGGAGAAAGTCTAAAATGAAAAGCCGCGCAGCAGCTTTTTTTAAACAGAGCCGCGGAGCAGCTTCAAAAAATTTTCATTCCGATCTTATGTTGAATTTTAGCGAAGCCGCTCTGCGGCTTCGTTTTTATAAGAGCTGGTTCGCGGCTTTTTAGGCCCCTAACTCTAAAATGAACTATTCAGAATAGTCTATTCTTCAATTGGCGTCATAAACATCTGCCTTTCTTTTTATTTTCCAATCGTAGCTACAGAAAATATACTTCATTAATTCTGACGATTATGCATCGGAGAAAACAAGCGACTGTTTTCTCTCTCATTTCATAATCCAGTACCTGGTAACAGCGCTTTTCTTTGCAATAGCAACTGATTATGCCCGAATCTGATTTGTCCTTGCTTTTTGACGAGTAGCTGGACATAATGGACAGCTGATTAATTCAGCATAAACAAATCGTACATTATTTAATAAATAAAAATAAATTATGAAAGGTGTTTCAAGGCGGCAGCTAAACCTTAATGCACCTGTCCTCGCTGCAGAATATATGAGAGAGTGGTAACAAAAGCAATTCTGATTTTTCAGTTTATCCAAACATGTCTTCCGTCAGGCTCAAGAAATATTTCCTAAAGAAGGAAAAACAGAAGCAGAGAATGAATCCCCAGGAGCTTTACAAAAACACTGGTAATGCGACTATCTCGCCACATAGCATGAACATTTTAGGACCCGACTTGAATTTACCGCAGCTTTAAAGTTTGATGCTTCCCATTCTTGAACTTCAGCCTGAGTTCTATCAACTATTCAAGAGTTGCTAAAGCAGCTTTGTTGATTGAGAATATGTCTATTTTTTGACTAACAGACGGCTCTATCAAGGTATTATTGATCATGAGGGGTTTCATGGCCCCGGCAAACTACGGAGAAAACCTGACTCAGGGTTTTGAAAAGTTCTAATGAAAAGCTGCGTGGCGGTTTTTTTTAAAACAAAGCCGCAAAGCGGCTTCGCCATAGTAATCTTTCCATCTATTTCTTTTCAGGACCCTGACTCAGGTTTTTAACACAGGAGGATATTCTTAGACAGAACTTAAATTAAGTCATGTGATCAATTTTCACTCAGCATCAATCTTTTTCTAAAACTTATATTTCCCCGCGGATGTATGAAAAATTTATGAGATTTGCTTTTTGCTCAAAATCAAATCAGGCCGCTCAATCGAGATTTCACGTCGGTCTTTCCGGTTGTAATTCAGCTCTGTCGGCGCTGAAAATGGAAAGGGTTGTAAAATGGAGACATCTCAAAAAGCGAGTGCCCACTTAAATCCGCACCGTCCATTCGCGGCTTTTTGTGACTTAGACTCGCTCTTAGCCGTAATCCAAAGAGGGCAAATTTATTTTACAATATATCAATCTTTCAATCACGCGCGGCCTCAAAGTGGTACCCACGCTCTAAGGCCAGCGAGACACATTATCGCTAAATAATCTCAAATGATCCCTTCGCAAATTTGAAAAGGTAGTAGTTGCCGTTGCTTGGGACGAGTGTAATTGCTCAGTTTCTCCGTAATTTTGGCACTGCTAATAACCGCAAAAATCGCAAGCATTTTTGACGCATTTTTTGCACGATGAAATATTTTCAAGCCTCGATTTTCAGCTGGAGATTTGTGCATTTGACTACGATCTGTTCGTTTTCTGATGCTTTACGCTCCTTCCTTTCTTGTCCAAGCCCTTCATGGGAGTGTAATTTCCATTTTATTGGAGTGAAAAGCCTTCACTTTGAGCGTGAAGATGGCCCTTGACCGAAGCGCCCTGATTTTACACTGTGTTGAGTGTGTTGATTCTAATTTTGTAAAGCGTCTTGATAAACATCCCCAAGCGCGGATGTTTTATATCTCCATCGGCATTGCGTGCCCATTGATGGGGTTATTCACTTTCCCAAATAAAGTTCCATTCATCGAAAGCAATATACCGTGAAGATAAAAAAAACTCAAGGCATTTTAAAAATTTAGAGAAGGAAAAATTAAGATGTTCAGGTAAGTGGAAATAGAAAAATGATTCCATTGTTTGGAGGAAAATTAACTTACTGTCGAGTGCCATTCTTGGTAATTGCTACCTAGTACAATAGTTGGTAATTCTTGACCCCCTGCAGTCGCCTAAATGTCAACTTCCGGGCCCCTTTGTCGTTCTATTTATCGATTAGCTAAATCCTGGGTCAGGTACCAGCAAATCCCGACCTTCATTTTTCCTGGGAACTTTTTCAAAATTGAAAATCGTGGCGAATCAAACCTCCTTCCGGCTCTGTTTGAAGTGATGTTATCCCGAGTTTATAATATTTTGTCACTTTGTATAATTCCAAGTTTGTGAGATAATAAAATAGTAGTTGCGTCTCGTGAAGCATCCGAGGGCGCCAAAGGACTTAATGGCTTGTTATTGATAAGAGCACACTTGGCAAAACGAGCATTATGACTAGAATTTGGAGAAGGGCTTATATAGATTCCGTAGCGCATATTTGAGCTATCTGAATACTTCTGGTCTACCGCAAGCCTTTCGGAACCCGCGAGCTCAACTTGCCACAAGAATCCTCTCGCGAGAAATTCCACAATCATGAACATCCTGAATTTTAAGCGTAAAAACCGTTCCTTTTTATAATCGAATAAGTATCGCTTTCTGAGCTTATTTGCACGGAAGAATCTATCATAAATTCCTTTCATTCAATTATAGCTTAGAAAATCGATGAAAGGATTGTGGAACGGATTTTAACCGCCCTGGATAAACTACGATTCGTGTGCTTTTGTTAGAATTTCACCCCCTGACTTTCCGTCTGACGGGTTAGTTTTTACAAGCCGCTTTCAAAATATTCAAAAAATGGATTAGTCGCCTGAGCGTAAACCAAGAACGCCGAGCTTATTGAGCGCTTCCATGCTCGCCCGGAAGTTAAACTTCTAAACAATCCAAAGACCAAAATACAAAAAAAGGCGTTTTGCTTGGCGGCCGGCCAGGAAACGGCCGTGATTTTCGTGATTATGTTCAAATAACATCGAGTCAATACAAAAAGTTCTACAAAGGTATATGTACCTTATCTCGTCATTTATCGAGTTTCTCGGCTAGCGTATGTCTTTGAAATGATATAGTATTAGTACGACCTTAATCGGCATTAGTAGTCACCCGTCTAATCCTCCCAATCTGCTCAAAAGCTGCCTATATTTGGATTAGCCCCGGACAACAATGGACAAGGGGTGAAATTCAAATGTCAATAAAGGCCCTTAATTTTTTGCTTGATCATTGTGCATAATCAAGTGCATATTCTATATAGCCGCTAAGTGCTTTTTTGCACTGGACATCTGGTCGAAGAGTCGCCAAGCAGGTCAACCTGCGGCAATAAACAGATGGAACGGGCGCATCCCGCAGGCAGGATCAGCTAGGCTCAGACTTTTTAAATAGAGTCGGCTCGTTTGACAGTAACTTTACTGTATTACGCGATCTAAGGAGGGGCACGGCAGATTGCCAGTCTGGAATTATCATCGCCCTAATGACCTTTTAATACGGTAGTTTGGCTCTATTTTCGAGTCGAGTTTTTATAGTGCGTTCTAAAATAAGTTTTGTGACCAGGACGAACACTTTTTGTAATAACACTCCCTCAATTTTTGATCAGATTGGGCGGCAGATGTTTGAAATGATCCCGGGTGAATAATTCACGGTACAAAGTTGTAAACTTGATCAAAAAAGGGCGTCTGTTTCAAAAACTCAATTGACAAAGGATCCACCTTGGGACAGACAATTCTAAACTGAAAGTCAATAAATTAGAAAAATAATAATTTTAAAAGGCCACGACACGTCTATAAATGGAGACCGCAAGGCGCAACCTGCCTCTCCGAAACATATTATTTATATCTCGATATGAAAGAGCGGGCACTTTGTCCAGCGAAAAGATATATCTGTGGCCGATCCAGCTATTGGCCAAAGTGTCTTATATATTAATTAATTTTTTTATTTCAGCGATAATGATGGACCAAGTGAGCAGCCGTGAGCTCGACTCGCGAAGCATAGAGAGAATCGTCGAGCATAGGAGAGGTTCAAAACTTTATTTGAAAATTTCTGAAAACGAAATTGGCGCAGATGCGATCATTCACGTCGCTCTCCGGAAGTGTTCGCCACTTTTCGAGGAAGCGACGGGGAGAAATGAGCGCACTTATGTGAATTAGGATGAGCATTGATAATGACTTGGATACAAATTTAGCGCAATTTTAGTTAAAATTTGAGTTGAGTTTGAACCTCGAAAATCAGCGCCGCAGAGAAAAGTGACGCTGGCTCGGATCAGATGCTTCCATCGCCTCCATTCTTGAGCAGAAATCTTCAAAGTCAACAGAATCAATCAAGCTACGCATCGAAACCTCGACCAAATCCCGTCACGAGTCCGGTTTATCAGGTACGAATAATAGCGATGTCAAAGGAAAAATCAGGCGGCGCGATAAGAATCGAATAATGCCGAGGTTGATTCATAAAGAGCGGGGGAAAATCTTATCGAAGAAAAAACGCGCCCAGAGCCAATTCATTCAGTTTTATTCGCGTCACTTGAGAGTTTTTAAAACAAAAATGACAGAGAAAAACACAGGGCTTTTGAAATTTGCTCCGAGAATGAGATATCACTTGAAATACTTAGACCAGGCTCGAATTCGTGATCCTTACGCGGGGGTACTTCCAGCATCTTCTGGCCTGTCTAACTTTTCCTTTCAGAGCGGACCTTCTTCCGGAACATCCTCAACCGAACGAGGAGCATCTTACCTCGTCGCTCCTCGATCCCTCTGCGACTCAGAGCATTACACCGACTCTGGAATCCACCACACCGATTCAAACGGCATGGAAGACGAGCACCTCATCCAAAACGACCGCGAAGTGCGCCACATCTTAGGTAATTAATTCAAGTTCTTACTGTATTGCGAATTCATACGGATCCACTCATCAACGTGGCAGGTTGAATATTTTATCGCTTACTAAGTAGGTAATCTTCTGTTTCAATAGACTCAGAGTTGAGGCCCTCCTCAAAATCGCGCATACTCGCCACAGATTTTCGCTAATTGGGCGGATCAAAGGAAAAGACCTGTCGAAAGTATCCGCAGACTTGTGTGCCCAAGTGGTAATCAATACTGCGCTTGGTATTGACAATAGCGCAATCAAACGGACAATATCGAGCCTTACTTATCCATAATTTCGAGCTAATTAGCAACAACTTTCCAAAACTAATAACACTTTGTGTTTCACTTTTCTGGACCGAACACAAAAGAGAGAAAAAACACTTCCTTCTTCGAGATAAAGGCTCAGCAGGAGGCCTGTCGAAGATTAAGCCCATTAGTAGCTCATGGTGCGTGCCCAATTATCAGCCCTGCTCGTAGTAGATAATCTATTGTGATCAAAGGGTTGGGCAATTTGCGCTTCAACAAGTTACTGTAGGATTTCAAGCTAAACAATTTTTGCGTAGGACATGAGCAGCAGTTCGGAACATTTGGCCGACCCAACATGGTGAACTCAAGCGGACGTCATCAGAACGGAAATCAGCTCCAGCGCTCTGCTCTCGCCGCGCACTCAGAGGAGAATCTACAGCCCATCTTCAAGCCTTCCAATGGAACGATGCCTCCTCACAAGTCAGCAACCCAAAGTCGTAAGGCAAGCTATTCGAACTACGAGCGACGATCTTTCTGCCCCGACTGGCGATGTATTCTCATGTGCAACATGATTATACTGACGATCATAACTGGTGCTTTCCTGGGATGCTACTACTACGTGTGGCCTGAAATCGTTGCACCGCTGGTGGAGAAATCCCAGCCGATCAGTAAGTTTAAAGTATTAAAAAAAGGATGAGCTAAGCTTGAACAAGTGCGATTTGTAAAGCCGAAGTAACCGGCGAGCGACACAGACGTGCTACACTTCACCCTTTTGTTAATTACCGATTTCGGGGGCGATTTAGTGATTAACTGCGATGATGGAATATATAATAGATCAGCCTCGATCCAAAAGTTAACGACTTCATTTTAGACGGAGAATGGGCCAAGTGGAACGAGTGGTCCTACTGCTCAGCATCCTGTGGAAACGGATTCCAAACTCGCGTTCGTTTTTGCGGAAACCCAGCTCCAGAAGACGGTGGCTTGGATTGCGCTGGACAGGCTCTTGAAAACAGAACATGCAGGTAAAACGCTCGCCGCGTGAAAATTATGTTTTTGAAAAGGGCAAATTAATAATCAACCTAATTACACGCTTCCGAATAATTCAAAAGATCGCGTTTGCTCCGCTTGTTGGCCAAATTAGGAACTCGCCCGCGATAGTCATGATTGACCATATTCAATCAGATTTATTAAAATGAAAATTCAGCGCGCCTCTCTTCTGCCCCGATTGCAACCGAGTCTGCGAGCGCGGAACGCTGAATAAAGAATGCACCAAGTGCACTTGCGAGGATCACAAGATCAAAATCGTCGTCACTGACAAGACTGGCAACCCGTTGGAGAACGCGCAGATCTACAAGCTCGGCCACTACGATATGCTCGGCAGGTCTGATCGCCACGGAGAAATCAGGTGAGGAATCATTTTTGAGGAAATCGTCATGCACGTGTACACACAGTACTTGTGTTCGCCAACGCGCTCGAGCATTAAATTTAACTGATATTTAGGCTCAAGTCAATCTGCTCTAATGGCGACAACCAGCTCTTGGTGACGAAGGAGGGCTTCAACCCCGAACACGTGTGGCCAGAAGTGACAGAACCCGGAAAACCCAAGGAGGCGTACGGCAACGTAGCACTCAATGTCCTCACTCCTCCAGCAATTTCTCGTCTTCCTGAATCTAAGGTAGGAGCGTTTCGAGTACACAGGTGCTCATTTGAATTTCAGGAGCGATACGTAGGTCAGTCTTTGAAGCTGTGCTGTTCCGCGTCTAGCAATGCCAACTCCCCGACAATCTCATGGTTCAAGGACAATCAATTAATCAAGCCTGGAACTTGGTACAACGCCACGGAAAGCACGGATTTGACAATCCCAGCCGCGAAATTAGAGGATTCCGGTCTCTACACTTGCAAGGTCAAGCGCTAATTACACACTCTTCTTTTTATCTAAATACTTTAGGCCACTAATCGCGCCGGTACTGATCTCACCGAAGCCGTACAAGTCACCATTCGCGACAAGAAACATGAGCCGTGCGATTCAACGCCGAAAACGAAGCTCGTCCCATTGTCCGACGGTTGCGAGCAAAAGTCGATCGACATTGGCGAGTGCGCAAACAACAACTCGCCTTGTTTGGAAAAGTCCCAATCCCTGGACCCCTTCAAAGAGCAATGCGCCGATCAGCCTTCAAGCTTTTGCTGCGGGTAAGTGACAAATCCCATTTCCGCTAACTCCATTTGGCCCTGGTGCATTTTAACATGCGTGTAACGCGCGACATAATCTTGGCCGCTTGACTCGAACTAAATCGTGATTTCTAGCCCTTTGAAGACGGAGAAGATCGAGGTGACCTGCCGCACGCCTGGAAACGTATCGAACGAGTACAAGATCCCTCTGGTGCGAACGATCAGCTGTGGCTGCGTCCGATGCTAGTTTCTATTATTTGTCCTGAAAAAGCGACTCTTCTATTGTGCCCAAAGCGCTTCATAATTTATGCCGAGATGTAAACTTCTTTCCAAGAGTTTTTCTTTATGTACAATTGTTGTAAATAATCCTACCTTCCTCTCTGCGACTGTAAATACTCGATAAATAGCCATTCCCAATACTGACTGTTATGATTCCTACAGAAAGAACCCACCCTTACCTCAAACGAAATATATTCCAAATAAAAAAGACGAAATCATGGAAAATCCGGATTTTTCCTTTGCAAATGAAATTCAGGGATTAGAAAGCTTAATTCCCTTTGATAAGACAGTTTATCTCACTTCCGAGCAGGTGCCCTTATCTGAAACGCTCCCCTAATGAGCTTGCAAGGCTTTTTCAGCTCGATTAGGATTTCTCAAAATTAAGAAAAAAAAATGAGGCAAAGGCGTGAAACGAGTTGCGGGATTCTAATTGCAATTGACAATATTCTAATTGCTTTTTAATTGCATCAGAGGACAGTGCCTGGATGAACGCCAAGTTTTGATTAAATGTTATGCATGAAATTTCTGACCGGTAATAGTTTTACGTTCCTTGAGGTTTTCTTGATATAAATCTGATTTCGGCAAAATTCATGCCAAAATTTCAAATTTGCTTTTGCATCCGATGATGATCTAAATTTGTGCGATTCCAAATTGAAATCAAGGAAGAGAGCAAGATTTTTTTCGAGTAATTTTTTATTGGACTAGAAAGAAAAGGTCAATTTGATAATAATTTGTCTAATGATTCTTTTTTCATCCCTGTCGACTTCGAGGGGCAAATTTTCGCAGTGAGTAGTTTGGTCAGTTTCAAGAGTGAATTTAAAATTCTGAGAATTTTCTGTTAGAGACGCAATTTTCTAATTCAGGCGGCCAGAGTGATTCTTAGTCGGACATGTCCGATTCGGAGCCTCTTCGATTTCGGTTGAACTTGCTCTCGCGCACGGGGGACTCGTTCCTGGAGCTGTAGTTGTTTGAGCGGCGGCGAGGACTGCGACTGCGAGATCGGTAGTCGGAGCGTTCGCGCTTTACGTGGTCGTAGTATTCTTCGCGCTCTGAAACAACATTTTCACAATTCAAATTAACCAGATGATGTCACCTCGGCGACGTCTGTTTCTCTTCATCTCTTTCTGTTTTTCGCGATATTTCTCCTCCAGCGCCTTTCTATCCTCCTGCTTTTCATCATATCGACCGTAGACACGTGGGTCGAGCTCCTCCTTGGCTGGCTGACGGGTAGACTTGCTCCAGCGCTCTTCTGCTAGCCGATGTTGCTCGCGCTCCTTGTAATCTCGCATGGAAATTCTTTCAGAGTTTCCTTCGCGCCAGTGAGGCGGAGTGGTTGCCCTGTCAATTCGGTTCGCTCCTCGTCCTGAAAGAAATAAATCGAATCCATCGGGAATTCGTTTGGCATACCTTTAATTTTTCGCCCACCGTCATCTTTTCTCTCTCGCCTTTCTCTTCTCTCATCTCGTTCGGAATTGTCTACCTTTTTCTTCGCCTTCTTTTCGTCATCTTCATCGTCACTCATCACCCGAGCAAGAAAGTGGTTTGGCGGATCAGACGGAATATCAGATTTTTGAGCTAAATTCGGTCTTTCACAAGCAATTCTTTTAAAAATGAAGTACCTAAATTCACTAAAACACCATCTCCACGGTCAACAAGTCCTTCTTTCGCGGCTTTTTTCGCCTTCTTCTTCGCTTTCTTCTGTTTCTTTTTCAATTTCTTTTGACGTTTTTTGAATCGCCGGATTTCTTCCAAGTCGGAGCCAGAAGAGCTCGAATCGGAGGAGCTGTCAGACTCTACCGTTCAAATAAGTAGAGAAGTAACAGTTAAGTTTTTACCTGAAGAAGATGTCAAATCATCAGCGTCAATTTTCTTGCTTTTCTTCATCAGAACAAGCTCTCCACAATTAGCAATCATGCATGGATTGTAAGGCTTCGATTTCTGATCCGTCGGCTGTCTCTCAATCTTTTTCACGACTTCTTGGCCGGAGATAACTTCGCCAAAGACGACGTGAAGGCCGTCAAGATGGCTGGCTGTCTGAGTGGTGATGAAAAACTGGGATCCGTTGGTGTTCTTGCCACGGTTCGCCATTGATAGAAGAAAGGGACGATCGTGCTTGCGTTTGAAGTTCTCATCGTCAAAGTAGCCGCCGTAGATTGACTCGCCACCGCGTCCCGTGTTTTCAGAAAAGTCTCCAGCCTTAGAACATTATGAATAAATGGTATTTGTGACGATTGCGTACCTGGATCATGAAATTTCTAACAACTCTGTGGAAAATCGAGCCCTTGTAATGAAGAACTTTATTGGTCGTCTTTCCAATGCCAGCATCTCCGCTACAGAGAGCGCGGAAATTCGCGACGGTCTTGGGGACGATGTCATCGTGCAATTCGAAAATTATTCGTCCAGCGTCGACCTCGTTTATCGTGATGTCGAAGAAGCATCTCGGTCGAACATGGGCAGCCTTAAAATTCATCCTCAAATGACTGTTACTAACTCAGCTGTCCTCTCACCTTCCCCATTTCTCTATGACAACTTTTCGGACTACAAACGACGAAATACGAAAGTCTGAAAAAGAGCGGTTAGCTCTATTTCTGCTCAATTTCTTTAGAGAGCTCTAGAGACATTATACGAAAGAGATTCTGTCTAGAAGTCAGTGAAGGGCTGAAAATTTCTTCTATCAACTTTGACCCAAGTTTACAGAATAAATATAGAATGATTTATTGCATCGAACCGGATTAAATATACTTTGTTTAGCAGAGTAGATACTTTGACTGATACTTTGAACTAGTTTTCAAGCAGTGCGAAAGAATGATTTTGATAGGACTCACAGTGAAATGAACGGGAAGAAGAAATGGATGAATTTTGAATTTTAGTGAAGATGATTCAAGTTTTGTTAGTTATGAAGTCAGCCGGAAATCAGGAAGGTCTTCTTTGATGACTTCCTGATACATGCATCTGCAGATGAAGTGGTAGTCTTCTTTGGATTTGTGCAGACAAATCTGAACCTTTAAAAGAAACGAACTTCAGTAGATTGATTACCTTGCAATCCCTCGTAATAGGACGCACTTTGGCAAGAGGCAACTCAAGTGTTTTCGAATGATTTTGAACCAGATCCGCGAGGCTCTCCCACATTCCGTCAATTTCCTTCATTTCAGGAGTAATTGAGAATCCAAAGTTTCGCAAGGCTGTGAGATATCTGTAGCTGGCCAAGTAAATTGAGCAGACATTCGCGAGATAGTCTTGGCCTTCTTTGGCAAGAAGAACTTCTGTGAGGATGTCGGCTTCAGCTCCTTTGAAAACGTCGTGGGTGATTCTAAAGAAATAGCAATTTAGCCAACGACAACTGGTTGCTTTTTACCTGATGACTCGAAGGCATTCCTTGAGGAGGTTTTTCCAAACAGGCTCTGCTTTACTCAATAAAGATCGCCTCTTTGGAATTTTTACTTCTTTCTCTGGAGTTTCAACAACTTCGGATGCTTCGGCGGTTTCTTCGATTGGCTTTGGAAGTTGTTCTGATTCTTCAACAGAAACTGGAGGGATTTCGGAGTTACTTCTCGACTTAGACTCTTCGCTCTCATCGTTAGTAATGATATCCCAAGATGGCATGTTCTCGTTGTCCGGGCTTGAGATTTCTAGCTCCTCATTTTCGACGTCTTCAACTTCTTCCCCTTTCTGGTCAATTGAGCGATTTTGCGTCTCTTGCAAATCCGGAAGGTCTAAACTCAGCACTTGCGCCAATCTATCCTCCGTCGTTGGCGCTTCAATTGGTAGAACAGGTTCCGAAGGTGTTCCGAAGTCCAACCCAGCGAGCAGATCGAAATCAGACGAGACTGTTTTGGACATTTGAGAGTTTGGCAATTGCGCGATCGGAGAACTTGTATTGAACGATAACGCGTACGGGTCGTAGATTGGCTCAGATGGGGAGGGCTTTTCTTTGGAAATCTGTTCGAATTTTCGAATATCGAGAGAGAGCACTTTTGGAACTTCAGGTTTTTGAAAACTGGCTCTGGAATGGTGGGCTCTTCGTTCTTTGCTTCTTCGAAATCGCCGAAATCATCATCGTCTTCCTCCTCATTATCATTCTTTTCAGCATTCACAGGATGAGGTTGTTCTAGTACTGGAAGCTCTAGTTTTGGCAACTCTTCAGAGACACTTGGTCCAGAAATGTCCCTCAAAGCGGCATAAATATCTCCATTATTCGCTGGAGCGTTCATTTCTGCCTCTTGCTGGTGATTCTCTACGAAGCCACTTGGCATAGGCGCAGTCGGAATTGAAGCCATCGAGAAATCGACTTCAGAAACGGGAATAACTGGAATGGGCGTAACGCTGTGTTCTGTTGTATTTTCTTGTTGATTTTGATCGCTTTTCTCTGTCGGGATTTGATTCTGATGAGACGGCTCTTTGTGAAAACTATCGATTGTAGGAGCAATATGGGAAGGAGTAATTGCTGGCGCCGCTGGCTGGGACTGTAATTCCCCAGTGGCTTCAGTGAAATCACCGAATTCATCATCATCATCGTCATCTTCGAAGTTTGCTTGGATTTGTTCTTGGGGCTGCTGCTGGGGCTGGGGTTGTTGAACTTGCGGCTCTGGTCGTTGAGAAAGATCTTTTTAGGCTCAAAATTTAACTGGAAGGAATGAAATATTTAAATTTTCAGAGTCATATTCGAGCCCTTCACGAAATCAAAAAAGTTAGGCACACAGGGGAAGTCCGAAATCGTCTGCAAACTGATTTGTGCTGAGTTGTTCTGCTGCCTTATCGCCACCAGGGCCATCGCGGCGAAAAATTCTAAAGCAGCTTTAGAAAAAGAATGAAGAGTTTACTGTTCACACTGACCTTGAAAGGTAAGCTGGCCGGGAAAGGTTTGGTTGCAGACGGACCAGATCTGACCAAGGACCTCTTGAGGAAGTCGTGAATGCACCAGAAGGGGAAATAACAGATTTGTATCGATACCTTGGCCGGAAAGAGTGCAGCTTACGTACTGCAGCACTAGAATTAACAGTTTTAGGCTATTTCATCTAAAAATAAGAGGATTAAGAATGAGGGGCCTGCCATTTTTAACCTATTTGCGTTGAAAACGAAAAAAAATAAATAAAAAAAATTGGGTTTTTAGGTTAAAAAAGTTTGATTCTCGACCACCGACTCTTTGAAAGAGAAATTACCTTCGACATAAAAAGGTGGAATCTGATTATTCTGAATCCACAAGATCTGCTGAACATTTTCTATCTTCCTAAATCTGGCTGCTCCAGCATTTCTCTTCAAGTCCAGGCTTTCTTGAAACTTCTTGTTGAGCTCCATCTCCTCCTTCTTCTTATTGGCTCATTTTCTCTAGAATGCAGATGACCTTCCGGAAGGTCAGCCCTTGACCCCGGGTGAACTCTAGAACGGAGGAATATGAAAAGGGCAGAAAGGGAACTCTTGAACTGGGAAATGGACTTCAACGAGGCGGAAAAAGCGCCCCTCAGCGAGTTGAGTTGCCTACGCGAAAAAAGGCCAGAAATCGAAATCCAAAAGACCCAAAAGAGGGAAAAATACGAAAATCGACCCGTTGGAAGACCGGGAATTCGCAATTTGGAAGAAAAAGAGAAGAATTATTTGAAGAAGAAAGAAATAATTCGAAATACATTCAATTTTGGTGAGATTTTTTGAGCTAATTCTGTAGTTACTCATCGATTAGCTGTTACTGACTTTCACAGTGAAAAGTTTTCGATTACCCAACTATCGATTCTTCTTTGGAATCGAATTTTTCTATTGAAAGTTTTTCACTAGAGATATCCCGTCTTCTTACTTTACGCTGGGATCGGCAACCTGTGTAGAAAACCTGAGTCAGGATTTGCGGCTTCGTTTCTACCTGGCTTTTGTTTGAAGATCTTTCAGACCCTGACTAAGGTTTTCTGCACAGGTTGCTGAACCCAGACTGTAGGTTTATGCATAGAGACCGATTTAGCGGGATAGGCTATCCCGGATAGCCATATTTTATATGAAACGTCTGCTGTAAGTCTTCTTTCAGAAGATTGGCATTTAGCCAGGAGAGAGGGTTTTTTAAGTCTCCAAATAAAGAGCTCATTAATTTTTTCAAGCACTTTTCAATTTGAATCTGAATCAGCTGAGCAAAAAACTAACAGACATTTTTAGAGAAGGAGAATTCGAGAAAATGGGATATGATTTGTGCCTGTTTGAGGATGAAGATGTCGACGAAGAACTGATCTGTCCTATTTGCAGAGGAGTTTTAGGTAAACTTATCACCGTTTTTTTTCTTGGTTTTATTCTGTTTCAGAGGAGGCGACTTATGCTCCAAACTGCGAACATGCCTTCTGCAGCGACTGTATCCACGAATGGCTGGCCAACCAGCGAACCTGTCCTCTCGATCGGACGTCGCTCAAGAAAGAAGAACTCAACAGCGTGCCGAGAATCATGAAAAACATGCTTGGCAAGCTAAGGTAAGCCTTTCCTTTCCCATTTCGGAAAGCGACAGATGGGATCATTGTCCGAAACTGGCACCATGACTTCTGTCCAGCGGGGAGGCTGCATGATCATTCAGCTGTAAAATTAGTAGTCAAGCCTTTCTGCGGTCAAATTTTTGAACTTTCAATGTTTACGATGGCTTTTTGAAAGTTTTCAGAGATTATGTTTTCACTACATCTTTACTTTTTCAGTCTGAGAATAATTCTTAAATACAACGGAGTTTCCTACTATTACTTTTTCGCCAGGAGGTAATCTTTCAACGATGTATGCTTTATCGTCATAAATTATCACTACTTCCTCGTGAGAGTATTTACCTCCAAGACAAACTGATGTCTGTCTGCTCAATAGAGATTTGTTTGAGCCACCCTAAGGTAGGTTAGGGCTTCATTTTCGAGATAGAGCTTGATGGACAAGGCCGGTTATAAAAAGAAAACTGACAGAAAATCGCCCATTTTTTCTTTTATCCAGGCGAGATTCAGTTGATTTAGAGAAGAGTAACAGTAGATACAGTACACTTAATAACAATGGCTATTATGAATTTGCGGAAAAGGTTGAGGGATGGTAAACTCGTAATAATGAATCTTAGGGTCAAGTGCGAAAACAAGGAGCATGGCTGCCAAGAGATCATCCGCCTCGACGCCAGAGCAGATCATTCAGTTAACTGCGAGTTTAATCCTAAACGGCCAATTCGATGCGAACAGTGTTGTCTCACGATACCCAAGAATGAGCTCGACAATCACAACTGTATCCGCGATTTGCGCAAGCAAAGTAAGTAGACTTCTTCATATATCGTTTCTTACAATATCGTTTCTAGTGGCGGTCATAAACGATCAAGTAACAGAGCTGAAAAAGTACCAGACAGAACAAAAAGAACGCGACCGCGACCTGATGCTTCAAATCAACCATCTCCGCGAGCTGGTGCGACTCAACCACGCTGCCTCGCCGAGAACACCGATGCAGCCCAGAATCACCGAAATTCTCAACTGGACGGAGAGTCTTCACAGCGCCAGAGTGACCAGATGGGGTGGCGTCATTTCTACACCAGGTACGCGCTTACAGTTCGATTACGTAATAGTTACACTTTTTTTATCTTTTTAGATTCTGTGCTCCAGCGGGTCATTCGAAGAAGCCTGCTTGAGTCTGGCTGCCCAAATCATATCGTTCAAGATTTGATCGAAAACGCTCACGAGAGAAGGTGGCCCAGAGGATTGTCGACGTTAGAAACGAGGCAATTGAACAGAAGATATTACGACGATTACGTTACCAAACGAATTCCTGGAAAACAAGCAGTGGTGGTGCTGCACTGCGAGAATACACACATGCCCATTGACATGATTTCTGGTAAGAAGCGTTTTTTATTTGACTCAAAACCTGCGTAGAAACCTGAGTCAGGCCCTGACTGTGTTTTTACCCCTAACAATCTTGGCCTGACTCAGGTTTTTACACCGGTTTTCGTCCAGTTAGACACTTATCCCAAAGACTTTCTGAAGCCTAAAAATTTCTATTTAGATCCAGGAATTGTGATGATCTTCGCGCATGGTGTTGAAGATGTTTAACCTTTCTCCCTGCGATGTCCAAAAAGAGCCTGCTTTTAACTTTAAAAAAGAAATTTACTTTAAAAATGCAACTGGTGTTCTTCATTTCTACTGTATAAATTGTTCTTACTTTCTTCTTCTAAATATACCATTTCATCTTTTCCCGTTCAAAGCTTTTTTCTTTTATTTGAATCATTCAGAAGAAATGAGAATTACGAGAGCGCTGCGGCAAAAGCCAAAAACCGGCATTCTCATGTTGAATATGGGCGGGCCAAGTACCATTCCAGAGGTCAAGCCTTTCTTGTCCCGGCTATTCACCGATAGGGATTTATTAAAACTTCCGTTCAATCAAGAATTGATGGCGAAATTTATCACAGAGCGGCGATACAGGTAGATTGAGCTCATTTGCCAGTTGTAAATCTGGAAAATAGAATGATTGAAAAGCACTATTCGGAGATCGGAGGAGGATCGCCAATCGGGAAGTGGACAGCTCTTCAGGGCGATAAGATGGTCGAGTTGCTCGACGAAATGAACCCAGAATCAGCGCCGCATAAATATTATATTGGATTTCGATATGCTGCTCCTTTGACGGAAACAGCGATTTCTCAAATTGAACGGGACCAGCCAGAACACGTTATTGCTTTCACTCAATATCCTCAATATAGGTATGTCTCGTTTTTCATGGAGATAGATTCATGAATCATGAATTTGTTTTTCAGTTGTGCGACGACCGGATCTAGTTTAAATCACATCGCACGATTATATGGAGAAATGGGAAAGAAGCCTTCCTCTACTTGGTCGGTTATTGATAGATGGCCTGTTTGGGAAGGTCTTGTCGACGCTTTTGCCGAATGTACAATCGCTGGACTCAATCAGATCCCGGAAGAAGGTCTCAGTAACTCGAGAAATTTTATCTAAAATCATTTAGATCGTCACAAAGCTGTAATTCTTTTCTCTGCTCACTCGTTACCGCTTTCTGCTGTGGAGCGTGGAGATCCTTACCCACACGAAGTTGCTGCCACTGTCTACGCCGTTATGCAGAAATTGGGCTTTAGAAATCCTTGGAGAGTCACTTGGCAATCACAAGTACGTTCTCATTCTTGAAGCGAGGCTAAAGTTTTGTTCAGGTCGGGCCAAAGAAATGGTTGTCTCCAAAGACGGATGAAGTTTTAGAAGAATTTTCAAAGCGCGGAAGAAAGAGTCTTGTAGTTGTTCCCATTGCGTTTACGTCTGATCATATCGAAACCCTTCACGAGTTGGATATTGAATTTGCTGAAGAAGCAGAAAAGGCCGGACTCAAGTAAGCACTCAAAATCAATCCCCTTTTCATATTTTCAGGCACTACGTTCGAGCTCCTGCTCTCAACGACAACGCGACTTTCTGCCAGAGCTTAGCCGACCGAGTCCAGCATCATCTAAACGTTGAAATTCCGCGAGGAGAATCTTTCAACGCGCAACTCGGCCTGCGCTGTCCTAAATGCACCAATCCTTCCTGCCAAGAAATGAGAAACTTTTTCAACGAGCGCAAGCGAATGCTCTATGCTTCAAAATGAGTTCTGACACCTTGAAAGTTCAATTATTGAAACGTTGAAAGATTACCTGGCTGAAAATGATAAATAAACACGGTGAAATCTGAATTGGAGCAATTCAATGTCAACACAGAGTCTTTGACATTGAAATTTTAATTTTATTATTGTTCTTTTGGCAAAATAAAGCGGATCGTTCACTTTTCACTCTATTGTTCTTTTCAATTTTATCGTCTTTCCAATAAGAGGGTAAATTGTACATTTGCGTATTGACACAATGAATACGAATCAGCGCGCCGTTGACATTGCCAAGCCAAACAATGCATGGAAATGTTTATAGCTTCGAAAAACTCCTACAAACCGGCAAAAGTTGAAATTTTGAAAAAAACGAGAAATGAAAGTGAGCAAACCTGACATTTTATCCGAGCAAAAAATACGAAAATGGCTGAAAACAATAAAACTCAAGAGGGAATCAACAAGGACATTAAAATGTCGCATAATTGAGTCTATTGAGAGAATGAATATGAAAAAGGACAAATTTGCACAAGAGTGGACGAGGGTCAAACTGGTGAAAGGTATTGGACATTTATACGACAAAGATGGCACTAAACTGCAGGAGTTCACTTTCTCCCCGTATCAGAAAGAACTTTTTAACCAAGCCGCGCAGACAGATGAAATTCTCGATATTGAAAGATCCGATTTGATGCCAGAGAAGGGTTTTTGGATCAAAAAAGTACTCAAGAAGCAAATTATATCCGAAGGTGGAGAAGCTATCGTCTTTCTTGAGACTTTCAACGAGCTTGAAGTTGCCGTCCGAGTTCAAGCATTTGATCCAGCACTATTTACGTCGAATTACAAAGAGGAGTATTATCAGTACAAGGTCAATTTGTGTTCGGATTTCTCTGCCGCTGTCGATAAAAAGACCGACGAAGAAAATGTTATTCCGTATCACGAAAATATTGTTATGCATTATACGAATATTGAAATATTCGACAGTTTTGACATTGAGCAGAAAGACTGTTTGGGATGGATAACAATAATGGAAAAATGTGGGGCAAACTTGAGAACAAAGCTGAAGTCTGAGAATTTAAAAATTGACAAAAGAAGGCGGATTGCATTACAAATCAAAAATGGATTTCAGTATCTGTATAATCTTGGAATCGAACATTGTGACTTGAAGTTGGAGAATGTTTTGGTCCAGAAGACAAAGGTTAAACTTATTGACTTTGGACTTGTGAGAGCTGTAACTGGAAAGCAAAGTTTTCGACAGATGGGCTATGCAAGATATGGATCGAAGTTTAAAAGGATAAACAGTTTATGTACTATCAAGTTGTATTATTACTTCATAAATCTATTTTCAGATGCCGGCTCTGCGGCATTTTCAAAATCGAGTCAGCTTGTTGGGCAATCTGGCTACCTTCGAAAGAATATTTATGTATTTTTATTCTCCGATTGGATATCTGCATGGGCCCTCTTATTTCAACCTGTTGATTGTTTGGACAAGAAACAAGTCAATCAAGCTATCAAAGTAAACTCATTTCAATGTTCATTATTCAAAAATTATTAGAAGTCCAAAGCAGAATGGATGCGCGGCTCCCGGGAACCGACAGTTGAAGAAATTAATCATACGGAAATCGTCTCGGTCAAAACTCAATGTCAGCATGCTCTCGCCGACGACAATCTACAGCGGACCATTGGCCTTTGCAATTTGAAGCATGCATTTACGAAGATCATGAATATGGATATGAAAAATTTATCGAAGAATGTTCTCGATCAAAAAGATTCAAAGCTTTGCGTTGTCGTTGCTGTGACAACTTTAGTGAAATATGCATTGGTTCATGATTTAAATTTTGAGGATAAGCGTGACGATTTTACGACTGAAAAGATCTTTATTTTATTGACGATGACAGTCTACCCAAGAAGTCTAGCAGGATTAAATTTGAATCCAAAGAAAGAGGAGCTGCGTTATCAGTCATCTAACATTCTAAGTCTTTTAAATAGAATGAAGAACAAAACATTCTTGAACGAAAGTGGCTGGGAAATGATTCGCACAAATGCCCCTTTTAAACCTCAAAAGTCGATTTGTGATTTCGAAGAAGGTAAAGTCTTCATTAAAACTCTTTGCGTATGATGTTATTTTTAGTAATTCTCAACGAAAATTTCAAATTTGATAGACCACTTGCAGTTCTTGGGGCGTACTTGCACAAAGACAAACCAGAAGCTGAGTTTCATCAAATGGTTCTTGACCGGGTTGAATCAAAATGTTACGTTATTAAAAACTCTCAAATCGACATTGGAGGTGCGACTCTGAGAATTCCTATCAAAAGAGAATACTACGCACCAGAAGAATGCATGAAAAGAGCCGCACGTCAGTGGAACAAGTATCTATGGGATTCAGATGGAAGACGAATGTATCTTGTCAATGAAAATTGCAACAATATGGGGAGGAACAAATGGTATCTTCTTCCACAAGCGTATTCTTTCAAGCTCATTCCAAGGTGATTCTGGTCAACCCACTTATTGTTGAGTACGTTTCGAAAAGAAGGATTGTATTTTGCCTTTTTGTATCTTATATATGTCTCCTCAAGGTGCGTTTCTTACTCGAGAAAATACTTCCTTCCGATAAGAAAACTGTATGAATGACTTTCAATATCAATAAACAAACTTTTAAATTGAGTCATGTGTTTGATATTAAACAAAATCACTAGCAGGCGTGGCTTTTAAAACTCAGCAATCGAACAAAGCATACAGTAGTGATACAGAGATGTTCATTGAAATATGCGGTACAAAGATTTCAACATTCATTTGAAAAAAGTTAAGGTTTACTCGTTGCACTGTTGGTAGCGCGGCTCGTTCAAGTTTATGTAAAATATGAAATTTTCCATCCAGTTCCTTCGCATTCTTACCCAACAAGAAAAGACTTATACTTCCCTCTTATCAAAAAAGCAGTTGGAAAAGGGACTCTTCCGAAAATCTTTAGGCCTGAAGAATTTCCGTTTTTGCAATATAGGAATAAGGTCGTAATAAAAAATGTGCTATCTTACGCCACCTGTCGACCCATTGAAGTGGTGGAATGATTTTCGCGGACTATGATATCATAAAAGAAGCATTTGGCAAAAAAGAGTTGTCCAATCGTCTGTACTCTGAGAAGATTCAAGTGGACAATGATCGCTTTTTGAAAGATTGGGGAATTATTGATACAGCCGAGTCAATTCTTGGAAAAGATGACAGACTAGTCAAAAACGGGGTTGGTATTTCCGAAGGCATCGGGGACGGATACTACGACGCAACTCATCGAAGATTGCGTGTCCATTGGCATGACACAATCAAACGCCTCGTCGGGAGAAACAAGATCTCGGAAATTATCCAGCATAGCTCAGCACAAGTCAATGCTATTCTCAAGGCAGAAGGCTCTGTTCCACAAGGAATTGACCCAAGAGAAGTCTTTGTCAATGGGTGAGGTTTATAAAGAACTTGATTGTAATTTATCCGATAATTCTTAAACCTTAAACAAGAACGATGAATGTAGTCACAGGGTTCTCCTTAGGAATCCTCTATGATTTCGACGATCCAGATTTCCAAGATCTTTCCCGCTACGTTTCTGTCTTCTTCGAAAACATGCGTGAGATGTACGTCTGGAAACTGCTTGTCGATAATCTTCCTGTATGGATGACACAGAGCAAGCTCCTCACTCCATTACACAATCTGAATCCGATGAAGAAATTTGTGCCTGACTGGTGTCAATATATCTTCCGACAAATTAAAATCCACAGGCAAAAACTTGACCCTGCCAATCCGAATGATTTTCTCGGTAATTCAACGAATTCTTCCATTTTGCTAAGCTTCAGATATACTTCTCATCGCTGCTGAAGGAGACAGCGAACTTGGATACTTTACTATTGCTTCGACAATCATTGCACTTTATCTTGGAGCGAGTGATACCCTTACGTTGGGTGTAGGGCGGCTACGTTCGAAATTTCGAACGCCGTTCGAAAAATTTTTGAAATTGCTTATAAAAATGAGCCTATATGCGCTCCGCGCCTGATTTGTAAGAAAACTCCCTCATAATGATGCCAACTTCCTTAACTTACACGATTACCATGATTTCAGCTCATATTTTGGTAAAGATTTTTGGGAAATTTCGAACGCCGTTCGAAAAATGGGCCCAAAACCGATTTCGAACGTAGCCGCCCGCCACCCCTTACGTTAGTGCCTAAATTCTTTTTTATAACTGGAGGTCCTTAGAAATACAATGCGCTGGATGAGCTTGACGCTTGCGGACCATCCTGAAGTGCAAGAAAAAATCTTTGAAGAAATTAACAGATCAATCGAAAAGGATGGCGAGATTATCCGAGAAAAGTGTCCCTACACACGATCCGTTTGCCTCGAAAATATGAGGTGGCATCCTGTGGTCGACACTTTGCCCCACAGAGCGACAGCCGACGTCACTGTCGCTGGAGTCAATATTCCCAACGGAACCATTATGCAAGGTATCATTGCATATTTAATGATTCTCTTGCATTTCCTTAGCCGCACTTACTGCTGTTATGTATGACCCGAAAAACTTCCCGAATCCTGAGAAATTTATTGCGGATCGCTTTGTCGTTGATGGCGAGTTTGTCAATGATGTCAAGGTCTGTGGATTCTCTCTTGGCCTAAGAAACTGTATTGGGAAACAGCTTGCGATCGAACAATACTTCACTTACACTGCTAATATCGTTCGCGACTTCAAAATAATCAGGAACTGGTTTCTTTCAATTTGTTGAATTCGACATTGCCTAAAAAATCGCACTAAAGAACAAGTGGAAATATGGAAATTGCGAATCACACCGCAATTCTGATGCCCGCCGAAATTAACAGAGTACGATTTGAAAAACGACGCCCTAATTGAAACACTCGTCCTGGAATAAATTATCTATTCATATTTTTCCTGCAAATGTAGAATGCTTCGATATGTATATCTTAGACTACAGAAAAAGCCACGAGATAGAAGTTCAGTAAAATGAACTGAAATCTATTGTCTAAAGATCACGATGACTTTTATTTTTCTGTGATTGAAGTGTGCTGGCAAGTGAACGGATTTAAAAAGGCAGTGGTGAAAAGTGAGTGCTAGTTTTTCTCGTGGCCGACCATGAAGTAGTCTAGCTTCTTCATGTAATCGTCTTCTTCGCTGCCTTGGAGCTGAACCTGCGTTTATTAATAAAAAATGTGGCCAAGCTCTAATCACCTTTACAAACCACGCATTCTCGTTTCTCGGGTAAATTTGCTTCACAAACTGGATGTCGAAATTCTTTATTCGCTCCATCCAGTTGCGCATTAATAGTCGGATGTCGCTGTCTCGCACTCTTTCCGACAAGAGGCGGCAGGAGAGCCTCTCTTTCGTCGTGCGAAGCTGGCGTAGATCTATCCAGCCTTCAAGGACAAGCGGGCAAACCTTGATCTCCTTGAGCAAGCCATCGAAATAAAAGAAGCGACCACCGATGGCAGCGAAAGGGTCTCTTGCGTCCATCTGGATCTCGATTGGAGCCATTTCGAAGTAGTCGACGTAATACATCACCATCGAAGTCGGAGTCTTCCACACCCAGCCTGCGCATGGCCCTTCTGTGACTAGAGTTTCTCCGTCTTTTTCGAACTAGAAAAGCTCTCAAAATCATCCAATAACCAGGAACTCACCTCGACTCTGTCCTGTCCCTTCTTCAACAGCGCCAGCATGAGCGCATAGCACTGTCTGTTCCTCATTCTGACGATAAAATTCGGCATTTCTGTGCCATTCTCAACAATTTCGAATCCTCGTTTCTTCCGTTTTTCTTTCTCGAGTTCTTTTTCCGACTTAACGCGCGTAGGATCTTCTTTCAAAATGTTCTGATTGAACGGGTCGACCAACTTCTTTTTCTCTCTTGCGTTGTCGAATATTTCTTCTTTGAGGCATTCTATTTGCATCTTGAAACGCTCCAGTCGCTCTTTGAAGTCTTCCTCCGTGTGAAGTCCCCTAATTTTATTTTAATTCTTGCGCTGGGACGATGTAAACTTACCATCCTCGAATGTCGATTCTGTACCAATCTTCAGAATTCAGCGCCGGGTAAATTTGATCATGCACTCTACGGATGATGAAACGGCGGCCGATTCCGTTCTTGTAATGTACTCCAATTTGATGGACCAAACTGTCTGGGTCGTAAAGCTTCCGTAGTTTGCCTGTCTTGCAAGCAGTGGTGATGACTATCTCCAGCTGGCGCTTGATCTTGGCTCCCATGTCAAAGTAGCCTGGTCGAGGAAAGAGCAGCATCGGAAAACAGAAGAGCTTGATGTGCTGATGATCTCCGAGAACCTCCTCCATGTCGTAAACCTAATAAGGGATGAACATCAACGACTTAGGAACAAGCAAGTATTAACCTTTGTCTGACCAGGCTCGATCTGCTCCATCTTAATCTCATCTGCGTAATTCTTGTCTTCGCGTTTGATTCCCTTGTTAATAATTTGAAAGATGTCAATTGTATCGTAGACAATTTCTGTGTTCATGCTTTGTCTTGCTAGAATTTTCAAGCGCTCTCCAAATCCCTCCCATCTGAACAACGGTCCGACGGTGGGAGTGTAGTGGTTGATCTCAGTAGCGTGGCTGAGAACTTTCGCTTCGAGGTATCTTTCGTACGCTTTTTCGTCCTTCTTTAAATCTTCATCTTCGCTACTGTCTCCGTATCCTGATTGAAAGCGTCTATTGCAAGAGTTAGTAAAGGAAAAATGAAGTTGCCAACCTTAATTTTCCAAGATAAATGTCAGCAGAAGCGGCGTGCTCATTCAGAGTCTTGAATTCTTCGTATTTTTGGTCGCAGGCTCTCTCGATGTCTAAAAGCAAATTTGAAAACGAGTTCTATGACGCCATTACATGAGAATTGAAATTGCTTTCAAAAAAGTTTTCACCTGAAATTGATTGCTTCACCCAGGCGTCAAGACTCTTATCAAAGGCATTCATCACTTCCTCTCTATTTCTGTAGACGACTTGCATAGTTTCCTTCGTCCATCGAGGCTCGAATTCAAGAATCGTTTCGAGATACTTTGAGTGGATGTCGACAGCTGGATAGAGATACTTGGCAGCTTCGTCTCTCAAGTTTTCTCCAGTCAATTTGATTGTAGACTCGATATTGTGCTGCTCGTTCTGAAAAAAAAGAAATTGAAAATTTTCCCTCTTTTTTTTTGGTTTCAATTCCGACCTCCTTCAGGGCCTTATGAATTTCCTCTGAGCAATCTTCGCACAAATTCAGCGGCAGCGCCTCCTCGCACACTTCTTTTACTTCAAATGCTTCCTCAGAATCGCTTCCAGATTTCCTCCTGACTTTTCGTTTGATTTTTGCGGCCGAAATCCCGCATTCCTTACATTTGAAGAGCGCCACGAAATCGCCGCACCTGTCGCAGTCGACTTTTTCGAAGTGCTCTGATAGTTCACAGCTTCCGATAACTGGCTCGAATCGGAGGTTGTCTGGAATTTCTTCTTCAACTTCTAGCGGATCATACGCGCTTGGTTTTAACATTCTAATAAAGATATTCGTGAAAAACGCGATTTTCACCTTTTTGGAAAAGTTTTATTTGAAGTAACAAATTAAAAGTTAGGCAGTGAACTTGAGTTCTTTTTAGTTAGCGATTTTCAAGTGACGCTAATGTCTTCCTGAGAAGTGTCCATCTTGCTAGTATTCATTATACTCTCTTGGCTCAGATTCAGCGAGGCGTTGAGGTCCTTCTTCTCGCAGTAATCGTGGTAGATTTCGTCCGTCTCCATTTTGCGCGAATCAGGGCGGAAATCGGTGACGTCGGTGTGCCGGATTGTTTCGTTGAACATGAGCAACACTTTTCAAGCCTTTGAAAACTGCCTTTCAAAAAGCAACTTTGCTTGCCTTTATTATCAAAGCCGTTCCTGCACTCTTTCTAGCCTGAATCATCGACTTGATCGTATACATTTCCTTGCTGATTTCCATCATTCTCGTCAGCGCGCGCACTCTGGAAACATCGTTCGACGCGCGATAGAACTTTTCCCATAAGTAATGCTAAAACAAAAATAATAGCTTCAGTGTATCAGCCGCCCTCTTACTCTTTTACACGCCTTCTTCGAAAGCTGACAATAGTTAATTTTCTCAATTTGCTCAATTTCGTAAAAATCTTTTCCAGAAGTAACAAATGGACAGCCGCAGACTTCGTTTTCGTCCAGCACTTTTGGATCCTAAACTCAATTAATGAAAAGCCAGTGTTTGGATATTTTACGTTGTAATGCTCTGGGCACATGACTTTGAGCCGCTTGCAAAATGTGCCCGTTCTGGCGTTGAAAAAATCGCAGAAAAGCCGCTTCGATCCGTCGACGATTGTTTCCGCAGCGGAGAAATACGCAGTTGCAGACTCGATTTTCCTGTAGCATTTGTTGATGTGCTGGAAATAAGTGATTTGGAAGCAAAAGCACAATAATTTATTGTCTATAAATAAATCTACCTTTATGATGATCTTGCTGCCACTCAAATGGCCACAGATCGGGCAAAACATTTGCTCGTCAGTTTCACTCTTCGCCTCGACATTTTCAGCATCTCTGTTGATCGATTTTGTCCTGGAAAAAGTAATGAGTTCCTCGAGAAATTTGAACTTCTTCTCCAAATCGTTCTTTCGCGCTTCTTCCTCATAATATTTTTTCTCCAGTTTGGTGAGTTTATAGACAAGCTCGATTTCAGAAACAGAAGGGATCTTGCCGATATCGTCGATTTTCGGGACCAAGAATTTGTCTATTCTTGCTGACGCCATTGCCAGTCCACAGGCATCTAAGGATAGATATTCTATAGGAGATATTCTATAAGGAGGTTTGGGTTGAAATCGGGCCGGTTGAACATGGTTTGTTCTGAAAAAAGTTCGATCTGAATCAGATTCTTGAGAGGAACAAATCACTGATTCTTATCATTTTCTATAAAATAACACATGAAAGAGGATTTCCAAAAAAGATATAAAATGATTCAAGTACATTAATAGTTTTTTCAGCTTTATTTAAGTAATTGAAGTTTCTCCAAGCAAATTTCACCAATAAATCCCGTGATTTATTCTTACCTGAGCAATATTTCGATCTCTTTCTAGCTTGTTGAACGCATCTAGGCCCAAAGCACTGTTGAGGTGGCAATTTTTCCTTGACCTTTTTCTTCTTTTTCGTCAGCGTGTCGTCCAAGTCGAAGGAATCTTCCATATCTTGCGTCGAGTCAGGTTCAAACTCCTCTTCATCTTCAATAAACGAGTCCTTCGAAACCTTTGTCGGCTCCTTTTTCTCTTTTTCTTTGACGGAAGACATGAACTGCTCAAAGTTGTCGTCTCCTTCATCGTCGGAAAATATCGAGGATGGATCCATTGGCGCTTTTTTCAAAGACTAAAATTGTCAATTCAAAATCGGAAGATTGTCGCTATATTACCTTTTGAGGCATCGGTTCGTCTTCATCCGACGAATAGATGCGCGCTATCCGTTTTTTCTTCACTTTCTTATCGACCCGTTCTTTTTCACGCTTCTTTTCTTTTTGCCTCTAAGAAGAGATTGTCGGATGGACCGGGTTTTCGTCCCATTACCTTTCTGCTTTGTTCTTTGTCGCGTTTTTTGCTGAATCTGGTGACGCATTCAGGATGAGCTTCGGAACAATCTTGGCAAAAGAACTCCTTGATATACTTGGCATCCGACTCGTCTAAATCGATGCATTCTCCATGGAACCACTCCTCGCACTTTAAATCACCATGATCTACTCTTACAGTAGCTCTAGCTGTACCTTATCGCATGCAATCATAAACGAGTCATTCGCTGGCCTCCGACAGAGACAGTAAAGCACCTCTTCCTCCTCATTTTCTTTTCTTTTACCCATTTCAACAGCCTTGGTCTGAAATCAACAAGGAGAACAACTTTGTCGAATGAACGAATTATTATCTTTATTGCAATAAGCCGCGTCAGCAGGATTTGGGCCCAATACTGACTATAACAGTAATGGTAGTAAGATAGTAAAAGAAATAAGAAACTAACAGAAATAAGACTCCTTTCAGTTGGTTGAAGTTAACGGATTTTTTGTTGGACATTTACTGAATTGTGAAGGTTTTCAATTGTAAATTGAATCCATCATTTAGTCACCAAGGCGGTTTCCAGCGCCGGTGAACCATCGACCACGTGGTTGGTTTTCCGTCTGTGCTCGGCGAGGTGGAGCGGTTCCGAAGCCACCGGAAGCGCGTTCTTCGGGGAAGATGTTCAAAAGCCACTAGAATGAAAACTTTAGTCCCAATCGACTATTGTTTCGAAGTAACTCATGCCAACTTTATCATGCCGATTTTATGACTCCGCCATAAAATAACCAAATAGAGGACTTTTGAAAAAAGAGCGAAAAACTGAAAAATGCCTACTTTGAGAAACCGAGTTGTTTATGTCAAAAATCTCTCTGAACTGAAAGACCAGATCGCAGATAATTCAATCTGCTGCGTTCACTTTGCTACGGAATGGTGCCCGCCCTCGAAGGATATGGAAGCTGTGATCAATACTATGGCCAGGTAAAAATCATGTTCCTGGACTTGAATTGATTTTTTAGGGATTTCGAAGACGAGGTAGTCTTTGTTCACTGCGATCTCGATCAGGTTGATGAGATTCTTTACGAAATGCCTATCAAGGTATGCTAAAATTCATTTTCCTCAAGTTTGATACTGTAATTTTAGGCGCTCCCAACTGTGATAATCTTCCGGGACTCAAAGGGAATCGGAAAAATCGAAGGCATGAAAGAACTTGTCATCAGAGATGTCTTGAAGAAAGCCCTTGTATAGAAAAAATCCTGATCTTTTCTACTGTTTCTATCTTTTTAATAAATAATCATCAAATTCTTGGAGACAATAGTAATAAATGCATTTACAGTTAAAGTTACTTTACCTGTGGAGTTTCGAGAAGATTCGGTCCGCCAAACTCGGTTGGATACCTGTACTTCAAAAAGTAGTACACGTGTCCAATAAAAATGCCCAAGAGCTCGTTAAATCCATCATTCGCGACGATCAATCCGAACACCATCAAAATCCAGGGCAAATAAATGGCTTTGAATTTGAGGCCAAAGAAGAATGATACAATCACATCTGAAAGCATCAATAAGTACAGGCATTCTGTTCAAAGTAGCATACTGGGCTCGGCAACCTATGTAGAAAACCTGAGTCAGGGTTTCAGAGAAAAGCCGCGTACCCTGAGTCTGGTTTCCTGAGTCAGGCTGCCCAGTCAATATTACAGTAAACTTACCTTTGTAAAGGTTGCACCAGACGTAAATACAGGCGATTATTGGAGGGATGAAAAGGACGGGCATTTTCATGATCATTCCGATTCCAACTAAAATTATTATTGATTTTCCGGCGCTTCAAAACTAAGTTTACTTGTAGTAAGAAAAATGACGAGCATCATGTAAGCCATGTCCGCTGGCTTTCCAGCAAAATGATCCTTTTCCAATCTGGTGGAGTAATTGTAGAGGAAGTACAGCTTCGTCAGGTAAGGAAAACCCAGACCATAGACAAAGAGAGCAGTGAAGGGTCTCCAAATGTGGAAGCTGCCCCAGAAGAGATCAGTATTGAGAATTACAGTCTCCCCGGAGACGACGCCCAGACGCAGTGCGAGGGGGCCCACGATTGCCGCTGTGAACCAGTATCTGAACGAAAATGATAACATTTATTCACACGGAGATGGGAAATGACGAAACGAATGATACGAAAAAGAATGAAGAGAATATCATATTCGAGAAAAATCAAAATTGTAAAATGAAAAAACTGCTAATTTTATAGTCACCTTTCTCATAAAAATTGCTAACAACAGAAATACCGTAATTCATAAAAACCGAGATTTACCTGGAAATTGGGGGAATTGAATTGTACCATCCCGCCAAATCGTTATTCATCTTTCTTTTCTTCTTTCTTCAGATTCACCGATTTTCTCCCAAAGCACTGCTTTCTTCGAAAAATGGAATTTTCAGATCAAAAAATCGGAGAAAAGAAAAACTAGAGCGACGTGGGCAGAAGCCTACCTAACGCGACGTGTCCTTGCCTCCGGCCAATCACGGCGCCTTTCTCTGTTTGACTCAGCACGCAGAAGTTAGCGAATTTTCCGCAACTTTCCCGGCGAAAGAAGAAAAATCGAAGAATAGAGAAATTGCTCAGAAAAGAGCAGAAAATGCATTTTCCAGTTTTAGAGGTAAGTCTGATTTTCTCAATTTTTGTTGGTTTATTTTGTAGCATCTTAGTTTTTTCTGACAATCGCGGAGAATATTTTTGAGTCGTTTTTCGTGACGAAAATATGCCAAGCATATCTTTTGACTCGAAAAATAGTTGATTTTAGACAAAAATTGATTGATTTTCGATTCAAAATTAGTCGAAAATCAGTTGAGTTTTTCGACTCGAAAATTAAATCAGCGATTGTCGGAAAATAAACGCACTAGAATTCAAATATAACTTTATATGCAAAAATATGTCAGTAAGTACAGTAAAAACCATCAAATAAAATCTTTCTTTTAGAACTCTTACTCAAAATCGGATCGTAATTTCTAAAGCTCTAGAAATTGAACCCTTCGGCGTAAAAAAATCCACTCTCGGCTAGACACACTCGCTCAAGAAAAAAACTCGAACTCGCAAAAAAACTCAAAAAAAAATCTCGGAAACTCAAAAATCGGAACTCAAAAAACTCGGAAAATTAAGAAAAAACTCTCGAATCTATATTATTTCAATACAATATACAATTATTCTCAAATATACACAAAATATGCACTTTTGTCTTTTATAATTTAGTAAAACATTTCTAACAATCTTTTTAGATTTCAAACACCCTTAAAAAGTTACTTTTAACCGTATTTCTAGAGAAAACGTTATAGAAATGGTTGTCGATGGCCAAGAAGCCCCAGTTGTCGAAGGAGCCCAAGTTGAGCAGCAAATGAACGAAGCAGCCCAAAACGAGCAAAGACCAGCTCAACAAAAGACTGGAAAAATGATCGACGATGGAAATGTTGGCAACAGCGCCAAAATGTTTGTTGGAGGTAAGTTTTATTTTTGGAAACGACGAGGAGTCATTTCAAATCCAAATTTAGGCCTTTCGAAAAACACCACCACTGAAAGCTTAAAAGCCTACTTCTCCAACTTCGGCGAAGTCCAGGACGTCGTCGTCAAAGTAGATCCAAACACGCAACAGTCACGTGGCTTCGGCTTCGTTCTTTTCATCAACGAAGAGTCGGTCGAAGCTGTCGTCGCCCAACAACACCACGAACTTGACGGCAAAAAGGTTCATCCCTCCCTTCTTTTTCTTCCAAAAGGCAACCTTTTCAGATCGATCCTAAAAAAGCTCAACGACGCGATGGAAAGATGTTCGTTGGCGGCGTTCTTCCAGCGACTACCGACGACGAAATCAAAGGTATAGAAACGAAAAGAAGATGAAAGATAGACGCTCTCTTTTTAGCCTATTTCGAGCAATTCGGAGAAGTCGAAGAAATCATCCGTCCAGTAAACAAAGAGTCCAACGAGAACAAACCCTTCTGCTTCGTTCTTTTCAAGCGCGATGGTGTTCTCTCCAAGTGTACAAAACGTAAGACCGAGCAAAGAGAGCGCTAGAAAACAAAGAATTCAGAACGATTCCACGAGATTAACGGCAAGCGATGCGAATGCAAAGCTTCGTTTCCCAAGGATGGCCAACAAGGAGGCGGCATGCGAGGTGGTCGAGGAAACTACCACGGAGGTAAGAGTCTTACAATGACTGAAATACTTTGTCGTGTCTGCGATCTTTGAAATTTATCTCAATCGAAATAATCAGAAAATATATATCAATTGTCTTATTTGAGATTCTTCTTTGGTGTTTTTACTTTTCATGATTTGACAATCCGTATTAGGTAATCAATTTGGCGGTGGACACTTTGCTGGCGGTTTCGGCGGTGGATATGGAGGACAATATGGTGGTGGATTCGGCGGACAAAGCTACGGAGCACCGCAAGGCGGATATGGAGGATACCCACCACAGCAGGGATACGGCGGATACCAAGGTACTTCCTCGTTTACGATTTCTTTTGACCAATTTTTAAGGAGGTCCAGGTGGGCCATCTCCTTACGGCGGCGGGTACGGCGGAAACCAGCAGCAATACGGTGGCGGACGCGGTGGCAGTGGAGGTCGAGGCGGCGCTCCCGGTGGACGAGGAGGCCGAGGTCGTGGGGGCCCCCGACAAGGCTTCTCTCCTTACTAGAAATTACATGTTTACTGCCAGGCTTGCGAGTTCACTCATTTAAACAACTCGCGAGCTCGAAGTTATCCTTTTTTCCGTTTATTTTCCTATTTCCCTGTGACGCCAATTTTGCCCCTTCTTTCCTGTTTGGAGATTTTCACCTATTGCTCTCTCGAATACGCTTCGTTCACCAAGAAAGCTGCAAAATACATTATCGAAATGTAATTCATCTATGTTTGTGTGGATTACAGAATATAGAAATATGGAAGACTCGGAGTTGCTTTTCAGGGCTTGTTTCTTGCAGGAAATCCTTCTTTCGCATTTTGACTGTTACGTAACAAAATTCTAGCGCTAGTAGCCTATCCCAGTAGCTCTTGGCAGAAAGTGCGAAACTACGCGCATATGTATTATATTAGAAATAATTCTAGAGCAGTTTTCATACAATTTTATTATCGTATGACTTCATAAATTGATCTTATTGAGTTTTTATCGTTGTAGAATGCGTCGCGCGGCCTTTCTGGGACAACGAGTAGCTCCAGTGAGCCAGACTCGCCACAAGCATGACTCCTTGTTGCCTGCTGGCGCTGGCGGACGATCATCCTTCTCCGGTCAGGCTGCTACTGTCTTCGGCGCTACTGGACAAGTCGGCCACACTCTCGTCAACAACCTCGGACGAATGGGATCGTCAATTGTTCTTCCCCACCGGTACACCCCTTTTCAACAAGCTCTTCTTTTCCCAACCGCTCTTTAGGAACTCTACCGAAGCTTGGAGATCGAACGACTTGCGATTGATGGGCGATCTCGGCACTCTTCAGTTTTACCAGCACTTCGATGTCGCTCACCGAAGCGATCGAGAAGTCATGGAGACTATTGAACATTCCAACGTCGTCTACAACGTCATCGGCACTCGAAGAGGTAGCAAAGTGCCTCCATTAGCTTTTTTAACAAAACCTTCAAGAGCTGAAGAACTACACTCGCCGCGAGACAAACGTCGACTGGCCCGAGCGACTTGCCAAGCTCGTTGCCGCCAAGGGCGACGGAACCAGACTGGTTCATCTTGTCCCACTCAACACTGGCAACGAAGAATACTGCAAGTACTCCAAGATCTTGGAAGAGCACACCGAAGCTTGCGAGAAGATTCGAGACGCCTACCCCGATGCTATCATCGTCAAGGTAATCTTGTTAAAGAATCATCGGTTTGAACTGGATTTGGCAATCTGTCAGGGAACCTGACTCAGGGTCTTGAAAGAGCTTTGATAGACGCGGTTATATTAAATTTATTTCGGGACCCTGACTCAGGTTCCTCCGCAGGTTATTGAGCTCAACTGTTGAATATCCTGGAATTAACCGCTCATTCACATTTATATGTAGTCTGCTGATGTTGTCGGCTGGAACGACTACTACTGCAACTGGTGGTCGATGAACAACGAGTATTACCAGCGATCGCTCTCGTATATCGGTGCCTTCCCACTTATGTACGGTGGTGGTGCCCAAACCTACGTTTCGTAAGCCATCGTTTCCCCTTTCTCCACTTTTATCGCAACTTTAGCCCTATTGTTCGACGAGATCTGGGTCGCGCCCTCGCCAAGATCGGTGCTCACCCCGACTCCGATGGACACGACTTCGAACTCTTCGGAAACAAGGTCTTCAAGCTCGTCGAGCTGGTCGAATTTATGTACGACGTCAAGTGGCAAACGATGCGACACTTGAACACTAAGCGAACGGCCAGCGCCCGATGCGCCAGATTGGATGTTGATATGGACTACTTCCCTTACGATCGTAAGATAATACGAGTTAAATAAATTGCTACCTGTTTTCAGCCCTCGGCGAGCTTGTCGCTGACCCAGTCGACCTTACAACGATGCAGAAACTCAAGCGAAAGCTCCTCCGACTCCACCTCGCCAAGCTCAACTGGCCACGATTCAACGTCGCTGGCATCCGAGCTCTTGACTACGTCCACCGAAACAAGTCGATGTACGCCGACTGGACCAGCGAGGTTTGCATATTTTTTACAATCCAGCGGTTTATAAGACTTTTAGGACCACTTTAACATGATGAACATGTCTCACAAGCCTACCTTCGAGAACCCCGGCTTTGCCGATATCGGAGTTAAACTGAACGATCCTCTTATTGCTATTCACGAGTGTATGGCCAACTTTTCGGTAAGCCCCGCTACCAATAACGAAAAATAGTCCATTTCTAGCCCGGAGCTTACCCATCTGGTTTTGGATTAACCGACAACTTCAAACGACTTGATCAATTCGACCTTCCACCAACCTACGAATGGGACGTCGTGCACACTCAGGAAGCGAAGAGACTGGCATACGCATAGGAAAATACAAAGTCGCGATAATTTAAAATAATTACGTTTCAAATTGTATTTTACATGTCTAAGTTCAAATCCCTTTCTGTTCAAAGCTATTTATTATTGGGATGAAATAAACTACCCTTCATGAAAAGAGAACTTTTCGTCGTGTTTATTCATTAAAGAAAGTGATATTAAAGCGAACGAAATCGCAGGCAGTGGTCATTTCATACATCACAAGTTGTCGTCTTCCATCTCTGTCTGTGCGGCTTGTTATTTCTTTTCTATTCAACTCTTCCCCTGTGACTCCGTTGATTTCTTGAGCCACCACGAAGAATCGATTGTATTCGCCGCCGATTTTGAACCAGAGATAGTTCCAGCCATTTCCTCCATCTCCAACGAGCCTCGAAGCTCCTTTGAATTCTAGCTCCCATCCCTCGTTTGTGACTTTGATCTTTTGCTCGTACGAAAACTAAAACAATCAGGGACCGAAGTTCGCATTTAGTTACCTTTAAATTTATTGCATGAGCACCTAGCGAGAGTAACTTCAGGATATTGATGAGGTCCATTCCCTTCATTTCATCCCTGACGCCGCCGTAGATTGTAGATTTGTCACTCACTTCTCCGATTTTGACGAAATGGCCGACCCCTCCTTTCGGCCCTAATTTCCACAAAGCATGATCCCTTCTTTTCTCTTTTATACGTTCCTAACTGAAGGTTACCACCTAGACAGGAATTTTCAGAAATCACCTGGGCTAAATTGGGAGTAAGTCCGGACGCCCCCGATTTTCTTCGTTCCGCTTCTTTCTTCGCCTTTTCAAAGTCGAATATCTGATTGTTGCATGCATCTCTTTTCTATGCTAAAATTGGTAATAGGATTTTTGAATAATTTTACCTGGAGAAAGTCGAACGCTTCTTTGAGTTTTATGAACTTCTCTTTCGCCCTTGGATCGTTTGGGTTCTTATCAGGATGCTTCTCTTTAGCTAGTTTTCTGTACGCACTCGTTATGTCTTTCAGCGTTGCTGAAGGTTGCACGCCGAGTATTGCGTAATAATCAATGACCGACTTGTAACTCATCTTGTTTTTTGCGGTACTGGCAGGCGGGCTACAAGATTACTGATCAGATATTTTTTTCCACACAAATGACTCAGAGGCAGAGTCTCGAAAATAGCGGAAATTTCGTTGACTTATTTTTCGTGCTATTTTGCCGAAGTCTGGGAGACAACAAACTATTTTTCAAACACTGTATTTGAGGGGATATTTTACCAAAAGAAAACAAATCATTATATAATTAATAATTTCTCTAGAGTCTAGACTTTTTGTAGAATTATTTGTGGGTGCTGAAAAGCGTCGCCTTGCGCCGCCCGGTCCGGTACAAACCGAGTCTCGTCTGACCGAATCATGACCAAAGAGAGTGCTCGGAACCAGGGTTCTAAACGGACATGTCCGTGTACGGATTTTATCCGTGTCTGTCCGGTCTTATCCGTACGGACTGTTTTAAAATTTAACGGGATTTTCGGGATCTCAGTTGTTTTCTATCTCTCCATTGACTCTCCATTGAAAAGAATCCTTATAATCTCAATTTATTCACAGATTAATAAATTTGGCTTGTCGCAGTTTAAACATTTGTTTCACATTGTTTCACATTTTAAAGGTAAACATTTATTTCGTCTAAAAGAGGAATTTCCGGATGAATTCGAACCAAGAGAAGATGAATCTGACTCTTCTTGCGCTGGAGTAAGAGTAATCGAATATGCCTGCGGAAGAATATGCCATGTTTCCGTTTTCATGAAAAACTGTTCGTTTGTTAAAGCAAGAAACTCGTTGTTGTCTCCAATATAAACAAAATCATTGTAGTAATTATAACAATCTTCCATTATTGCTGCAGAAGCGTAGTACGGTCGGTCAAGAGGGATTCTTATTTGAGAATCAGAATGGTCGATGAGAGTATTTTGGAGAATGAACTCGGAGTTTTCTACTCGGTCTAGCACCATTTGATGGAAAATTATGGATCCGTCGGGACTCAGATATGCACCGGTAACAAGCAGCACCAGAGTTTGAAAAACGGTAATAAATCTCGTTTTTTATTAAAAGCACATAAGAAAAATTAATGAAAAAACGCTTATTCATTTTCAAACTCTAGTCAGTGGACGGCGGAAAACAAAGTTTTGGTGGAGGAGTACTAAATAATGGTCAGATTAAATTTTGATTTTTGTAACCTCTTTCAAAGTTAAAATCGCCTTTTGTGCTTCCATAAAAATCCATATCTTTTATAATATTCCATCCACTGTCATTCAAATAAGTTTTGAATTTCATTCTTCTGAGAAGCAATTCTATTTCATTTTCTTGAAATTCTTGTTCTTCTTTTTTCGGATTTAGATTGAAACCAGCCAAACTGCGCGGATAAATTATCATCGTAAGAAATGTGAAAATTTTTTCGAGAGTAAAATAATCTTCCATTTTTGAATCACATATTTTTAAATCATTTTTGATTGCCCATCGAATAAGCACTGAAATCGTAATGGGGACAGAGAGATTGCTTTCTTTTTGGTTTAAAACATTCTTCGTCAAGTTTTCGAAATCAAAATTCATTTGTTTTGTCATTTGACGTTTGAGATTGGCCATTGCTGAAGATTTCGACAAATTTGGATCGTCAAAGCAAAAATCAGAAGCTGCGTTTTTGAGAGAAATGATTTTTGACGTGCTTTCGATGTCTTCGATTGTGGGAGAATTTCTTGAAAGCCACCCAGCATAAGAGGCCTGAAAAATATATTTCCTACATATTAATTACATAAAAACTGACCATAAGTTCGCTTTTAATCATCTCTCTCTCAGTTTCGTCGATAGGCTTGAATAGAAGATTCCATGCGGTCTTCCAATTGCAAAGAATCAGAATATGAAGTGGTGATTCTTCTCCTCTGGCGTTGTCACAAAGTTGCCAACTATTTGAAAAAGCAGCTGAGCCAGCATCTACAAAATACGAGATAATAATGAAAACTTAAATTTGTACTAGTACTTAAATATAGTTTTTTACGGATTTTTTGGACATTTTTTCAATTTTAAAGGGTTTTGGTGCGACATTTCTGAAAAATTCTTTATCAAATCTTTGGACATTTTTCGAGCAAAAATTTTTAGCTTCCAGGTTTCTTATAAGAAATGGCTTTTTTATTATCAAAAATCTTAATTTTTCTTTAAGAAAGACAAAATTGAAGATTTATCCCGTGCACTAAGACATATTTTTTTGTCTTTGGAGGAGTAAGGAGAAGAAGATAATCGAGCTCTTCCTGAAAAATATTTAGAATCGCACATAGAGTCGGACAATTATTTTGGGAGCGTGTATCAAATTTTTGGATATCTTTGAGAAAATCGTGCGACAAAAAAGTCCAAAGATACCATAATTAACTGTATAATGTAATGATGATATACTAGCATCATAGATAGTGAAAAAAAACTCTGAGTACTCTGCACTGACACTACTTTTAATGATGTTAATCTTTTCGAATTCAAAATCACACCATTGAATACAGTAAGACTTACAAAGATAACGCGATTTTTGATACTTGCTTCCTGATCTTGCATATCCAAGTCGGCGATAACTCTGACGCTTTGTTTGTTCTGATATCAATCCAAAATCAATGATCTTAGCCTCTCCATTTTTCAACAAAACATTTTCTGGCTTCTTATCGAAGTGCTCGATTCCAATTTTATTAAGATAGTGAAGTCCTTCGGTTACCCCAATAAGAATCCTCTTGCGTTCTTCTAAACTAAGATCTTCATTTTTCAACCTGGAACGAAGATCTGAGTCGCATTTCTCCATCAATGTTATCCAACCAAGGCATTCTTCATGCTTCTTGTCATAGGAGGAAAAAATTTCGATATTACAAAAATTTTTTATGACATTTTGATGAAATGGGATGACCGGCTTTTCGTCTTCTTCGTCATCAGTAGCAATGTCGTAATCTTGAAAAAAGTCAATTCCAAATCGAATTTTCGATTACCTTTTGATAAATGGATAACGAATAAGAGTTTATCGTTCGTATCTGCGAACAGAGCCGAGTCAAAAGCTTGAACTCGAACAGCAACTTCAAATTCTCCAAATTTTTCGTTGAATATAATCGCTTCACCTCCAGACGAAATTATTTTTTGCTCAAAAGATTGATCCAAAATCCAGTTTCCAGTTTCTTCTTTCAATTCTGATCGGGAAATTTTGCGTCCTTCAAACCATGGATATGCGTCGAGGATCGTTTTTTGAAATGAAGTCATCGACCATTCTTCTGTTTCAGAAAATCTTCCACGATACACTTTTCCTTTTCCATTTTCAAAAATAACGTGTTCCCATCCAGCAGACCGATAGTTCTCAAACTGCATTCTCTCAACTGACAAAATCAATCTGTCGATATCATCTCTGCTTGTCGTTCTTCTTAATTTCAATTTAAAATCTTTGAGCCATCCTCCGATTCCTTCTTTTGTCAATTCTCTTGGATGCGTCGAGAGTTGCTCCGAGGTTTGCCCCTTTCTATTTGCGGGCGGGTGTCCATATTTTATACTCGGGTCTTTCTGGAATTTTTCATCGCCTTCGTCGGAACCAAGTTTTATCGAGAACGCCGTATTCGAAATGTACCATGTTTCTTGCCTCATCTGCAAATGAGCCTGCTCGAATTCGTTTAAATATGTTCGGTCAACTGGTATTGTAACTCGGGAATAATTTTCGTACGTATTTTGCAGTACATAATTCCCACTTTGAACACTTTCAAGAGTCATTTGATGATAAAATATGTCTTTTTCGACAGGAACTCCAGCAGTTGCAGGAAGATATCCACAAGTGACTGTCAAAGGCCGATCATCAAACTGGAAACCCTTATGCAGCGTGACTTAAAAAATAAGCGCGATTCAAATGGTTACTGAAACAAAAATCCGTTGTTATACTAGACACTTACGATATTGTACATTTTTATTAATAAATTTAGAAACTGCCCATACAGGTCAAAATGGAAACATTATTTGCTTATTTTAAACATAGACTAAATTGCAAACAAACCTGGTTTATAATCAAAGTTCCCCTTTGCGTGTCCGATCTCAGAAATAATCTCCCATCCTCTGTTATTCAAATAGGTTTCATATTTTAGCCTGTCTAAAAGTGATGTGACCACGGTCCTTTGATTATGAATCTCTTCTTTTCTTGGATTCAAATTAAGACCACTCAAGCTACGAGGAAAAACGACCATTGTCATAACATATAAAATATTTTCCAAGGAGTAGTATTCGTTCATCTCTCTCGCACCCATCTTCAAATCATTTTCTAGAGCCCATCTCAATAAAATAGTAACGGAGATAGGGACACAAAGATTCGTATCCTTCTGGTCAAGAATATCAGGAGATAGATTCATAAAATTTATGTTTGTAAATCTTTTTAATTGCTGTTTTAAATTTGCCATCACGCAAGATTTCATCATATTTTCATCAGGTTCAAGATCTTGCAATTCACTTTGAAGAAAAATTATTTCTTCTACACCGTTTATATGTCTATCTTTTATGTCAGCCATCGTTGAGTGAGTATTCAGCCAGTCGGCTTTTATAGTCTTAAAATTGCTGTTTACTCATTATATTGCATAAAAAAGCCTTACAATGAGTTTATTCCGTATATCTTTTCTTATTTGTTCATTTTTTATCGGAGCAAAGAGTAGCTTCCAGGCTGTCGGCCACCGGGATAAAATGAATGCAAAAATGCTATTGTTATTTTCACCACTTCTAGCAATAATATTTGATGTTTTGCAGAATGCAATCGTTCCTGCGTCTATGAAAAAATTGTAAGTAAATATGGAGAAAAATATTCATTCTCTTCATATTTAACTTACACAGATGATTTCCATATCTGTACTTGCTCCCTCTTCTCGTATATCCCATCTCGCGATAACGAACTTCGTTTGAGCTCTGTTGGACAATGCCAAAATCAATAAGCTTAGGTTTTCCATTTCGAAATAAGATATTTTCCGGTTTAATATCCATATGAGCAATATTGAAGTCTTCTAAGTGACGAAGGCCAGCTTTCACTGCAATGCCGATTTCTTTTCGTTCTTTAAGAGATAAATAGGCAAAATTTGACTTTTCATGCGCACAGAGTCTTTTTCTTAAATTTCGCTCATCACATAGCTCCATAATTGTGATCCATCCTAAGCAGTCTTTCGAATCTTCCTTGCTAAAAATTTCGATGTTCGAGTAGTGCTTGATGACATTTGCGTGAAATGGTAGACGTAGCTGGTCGTATTCTATGCAAAATTTAATAAATATTTGAGAAAAATCGGGTGAGTTCTACCTATAGACATATGAACCTTAAAATTCATTCTGTCCTCTTTCAAATCCTCCGTGAAAATTGCAGCATCAAAGGCTTGGACTCGAACCGCGTATTCTGACGTTCCGAATTTTTCTTTTAAAACAATTGCTTCACCTCCAATAGAAATTATACTGCCACAAGAGAATTTGCGCAGATTCCATTTTCCAGTTTCCTCGTCAAGATCTGATCTTTTTATCCAATCACCACAATAACCAGGGTTCTCCTCAAGAATCTTTTTTTGAAATTCCGTTATTTTCCATGATTCACGATCTTTTATAAAATCAACAGTTCCTTCTCCATTTTTAAAAATGACTTTATTCCATCCCGCAGCTTCTACTTTGTCGAAATCCATGCGCTCTACGGATAAAAGAAGACGATCCAAATCATCTCTGCTAGTTTCTCTCTCTAGTTTTTTTCTAAAAGAGCATAGCCATGTTTCGACATTCTCCCTCGTCAAATTCATGACTTGTGAGTTTCTTTGTTGTCGATGCCGAAAAATCATATATTTCTTTAGTCAATATTTGGCGACCAAAGGAATACAATCGTAGATCTGTGTCCGCGTGCTAACAAAACGAAGAGCATCACTTTTCATTTAAAATGTCAGTATTTCCGGGAAGATTTTATTGAGCGAAACCAAATCATCAAATAGTCATGTACAGATCAAGCGAGTCCCAGAAATCACATCGTTCTGCCCGCGGATCATCCATTTGAATTTTGAATCGTCGAGTACCTACAAGAGCTCAAGTTGTTTTGTAAACCTTCTGTGACTTTACCTTCATCGCCAATGTCAAGAAACTTATTGTTTATTTCAAAATGTTCCCAGTAAACTTGATCTTGGTGAAAATATTCCAGTGGGTTTCCGAGATAGTCTTAGAATAATATTGAAAATAATTATTTTAAAGTTTGATTCACTGTTTGGGTCGCCAGTTCGAATGAAATTTGCGATGTACTGTTGAATGCTGTATTGAAACTTTGCATCCTCTTCGTATTTTGGGTCGCTTCGGAAGGTGTCATTGAAGAACCAGTGCTCACTCGCTCCGTGGGAAACTCCTTCTTCGATCGATTGCCAAGGAAGACGCTGGCTAATGCGGGCCAAGTAGAGTCCAGTTTCGCGATTGTGGCTGCCGGTGGGATAGCCATCAGTCATGCATCTTTTCATATTGCAGTACCAGGTGAAATCGGTCAGCCATTCATCAGCTTTATGAATACATTCGGAACCATCTTCAGGGCAGTCGTAGTAGCCAAAGTCTTTGAGCGCTTGGAAGTCCTCGGGAGAAAGAAGCTTCGAAAAGAAGAGATCCCAGCTTTCTTGGCAAAGATGTTGAGAGTCTGGATAAGTTGTATTCGGGCAGTTTTTGCCCTGAAAAATCGGGTTCACAAACATGTATCCTTCGTTATCAGTGACGTCGATTATAGTGGGCTTGTCGTGCATTTCTCCCTTTCGAAAGTGAAAAAATGGCATTTCCTTGAGCATGCCTGTATTGATGATGGGCGCGTAGGGTTCTGCAGCGATTGTTGGCCGGTCGAAGTTTCCAAAAGGCAGTACTTGCTTCAACTCCCAAGCTGCAGCGTTGATCTCTTTTGCCGACTTGCCCATCATACACGAGATTATTTCAGACGTCGTTGGTCCAAGACAATGAGGCAGAACACCCGCAGGAGCTTCGCAGCAATGGACAAGATTGGCGATTCCCTGCAAAATCTCTTCGCCTTCGACATTGTTGTAGAATGGAATTCCGTTTGGACCGGAATAAGCAATTGCTTTATGGAATAAATTTCGACTATAAATAGAGTTAGTTGACCTTTATCTTCTTTTCGGGGAAAGTATGGGAACTCAGAAGACCGTTTCAATTTTATGGGCTGTCAAATATCAAACTGCAGTTATTTGGTCAAATTCGTTCAAACTCGTTCGCCTCACATTTTGACGCATGTAAAATTACCTGCTCGGCATAACCAGATGAGCATGCATACTTTGGCCACCCGCACTCATTCCTCCGATTGTGATGCTTTCACGGTCCCCAGCAAAGAACTCAAATGATAATCACATTTTAGGCCATTCGAGCGACTTACTTTGGCATTTTCAGCTGTCCAAATCATCGCCATTTGCTGATCCATCAATCCTTGATTTCCAGACGTAATTTTTCCTTCATAGTATTCTAGGCCATGTTCTTGGCTAATTCTGTCATCAAGGAACTCCGAAAACAAAAATCCAAAAGCACCAAGACGATAATTTGAGCTCAACACAACTAGATTCTGTTCTGATGCAATTATGGCGCCTTCGATGGGAGAGACGTCCTGATTTGATCCACCCATGAATGCACCTCCGTGAAAGTAAAGGAAGATCTTGAGGATTTCGTTATTCTCAATGGCTCTTCTGGGGACGAAAATGTCAATGTAAGCGCAGTCTTCTGTCATGAAATCAGTCGCTTCGAACGCGCCAGGGCAAGATGGCGAAGTCTCAGTAGCAAAGTAGACAGTCTTCCCGTCAATTATATGCGTTTTCGGGTAACCGTCAAGACCTCGCTCTATAATTGGAGCTTTCCAGCGAAGATCTCCAACTGGCGGCTTCATGAATGGAATTCCCTGCATAACAACAACATCAGGAAACTCAGTGTGAAGATAGCCCCGGATCGTTCCCAAGTCGCCGAAATCAACATCGTAGTACTCACCATCGAATGGCGGCATGGTCGATGTGGTGGTTGTCGTTGAAGTCGTAGAGGTGGTTTTTGTAGTCGTAGTGACAATTGTCTCACAATTTCCAAGCATACAGTCTGCGTAAAGTTCCCATGCGTTCTCATAGCAGAGAGCACTCAAATTTTCATCTTGAAGGTCTTGACATTTTATCTGCTCATTTATGTAGCGACTTTCGCATTGTTCCTGGCAGTGGCAGTCGTTTGAGCAATCTTTATGGTTGTCCTCGTTGCAAACTGCATTACACTCGACGCATTCATCCAGACACGCAGCAACATCTTGAGCTACCTGCTCACATTCAAACTCGCACAGAGAAAGCTTTCCTCGAAGCCTTGATTCGACTTGAGAAAAGAGAAAAATGTCAAACAGCGCATAATCTCTTCTGAGAAGTAACATTCGGTGACAGTCTTCAGATTCGGCTACTCCCGCATTTCCCAAAATCCTGGATTTCCCAAATCCTGGATTTCTCAAAATCCTGAATTTCTCAAATCGCCAAATCAGGATTCTGCCGATTCTGGATTTTGGGAAATGCAGGATTGGGAAAAGCAGGATTTTGAGAAATGAAAGATTCAGCTGAAATTTCGTCGACTAACACTGTTTTCCTCTATCTGTCAAAACTAAAATAGAATGATTTTACAGGCAAGACCCAAAATACTGTACATAATTTTGTAGCAGAAATTTGGCGAAAATGTACATTATTTTGGGTTTTTTCCAGTTTTCAAGATAATGGAAGTTTTAAATGATTTTTTTCTTTGCTATCAGGTGTGGAGACTTAATGAAAACAGTCATTTTTTATGCTTTTCTAGAGCAATATTTAGATGAAATGGTAGAAAAATTCTATTCACAGAAGTTGTGAACAGGGACTCTAGTGAGGACTAGCGCCGAAAGAAGCCACAAAAAAGGGTCAAAATCAACGCCAAGTTTGGCTTCCGAGAACTCAGGGTAACGATATTGCCCCTTTTTTGGGCTTCTTTCGGCTCTGGTTCTTACTAGAATCTCTGTTCACAACTTCTGTGAAATGATTCTGGTAGTATAGAAGCTGTTCTACAAACTGAGACTATGGTTAATGGTAAATGACTGGATGGAGTGTTCATCCCTTTCCGGGCGCTCGAAAATTTCTAGCGCATATTTTGGGACTTCAGATTCTCATTATTGATCGAAAATCTTGTCCGATTCAGACGAATTCGGTACCAAAATGATCGCCGACCTGGCGATTCTAAATCTGCATCATATTTGCAGTTTTAAAAGGGCAATCAAAGGGTTAATTTTTCTACCATTACACCTAGCAATATATGAAATTGGCAAATGAGTCATTTCCAACGTTCCAAGTTCCAAAACAGACTTTCAACCGATTGTTTTCGCAGGGATTAGCAAGCGCGACTTTTTTTGGAGGTGAGAAATTATTCGGAAGGGATTTTTCAGCGCGGAAGATTCTAACAGAGAAGAATCTGGGTTGGATTTTTAAATCAAGCAAGAAAACTAATTAAAAAGAAAAAAAAATCCTGCATTTCCCAAAATCCAGAATCGGCAGAATCCTGATTTGGCGATTTGAGAAATTCAGGATTTTGAGAAATCCAGGATTTGGGAAATCAAGGATTTTGGGAAATACGGGAGCAGCCTTCAGATTCAACTGGCATTTGTTCATCATTAAATTTAGCTCAAATGCGGGAAAGCTCAAATTTGGAAGCAAAGACGAACATTTATATTTCACAAAAATTAATGGCTTGCATTTTATTTTCATAGACTATTTTAATTTTTAGTTTAAGAATGAAAGGTAAATTTATAAATTCGCCAACGAGAGAACAGTTGACTCAAATCTTCATCTTGGGAAGGAGTTGTTCGAAAATGACGTATAAGAAAGGGAAGGCATATCTTTTAAAGATATAAACTGTATATTATATACACAATTGTGATTAACGCCACCCTGAAAGAAAAATCTGCATTTCAACAAGAATAACGGCATATTTACATAGAAATAAGTGCACTTATGGCACTTTTTGCACTGTGACAATCCCACCGGTCGCCGGAATTATTTGATTCCTCTGGTTGCTCTTCAGAAATTCGCTGATTATTGGGTTTTGGAAGACATTGGGGAGGTCTTTCTGGAGCCAACTCAATCACAATGTCACGGCGAGAATTATTCTATACAGATAATTATTTTCAGCCAAAGACTAACTTTAAACCTCTAATTCTTCGTACGGTGGTGGCAAATCGTCTTCTCTACCGGTTTGATTCGGTCGGAAATTGACGAACTCTTGCATTTTAAGTGTTTTTATTATTCTTTTTCTGTTTCAGTCTAGTTTCTTACGCTTTTTTTTATGGGAAAAAGGGATAGCAAGACACTGATAAATAGACAGTGATAATGAAATGACGAAAGACCTGGGCCAATTTCAATAAGGAATCCAAATTCAAAATCCTAACCCCCCATGTTTTTGTGCTCGTTGGAAAGAGCGTAAAAAGTTACGTTAGAAAAAAATAGTTTTAGAGGCTGACTCATCATTGATGACGTCATGGCGGCTGGTTGAAGTTCCAAAAGTCCCAAAAGTTTGATACGCTCTCATTTTTTTTCCACAAATGGAAAATTTGAGTTCAATACTGGAAAATGATCGCCTTGACCTACTCTAGGTGAAGAGCTATATATGAAAGATCCAACTCTAGAAAAAAAATTTTTTTTTCGATTTTTTCAAAATTTCAACCTAAAAATGTTGAATTGCAATAGAATACTTCCAAATAATGAAATAAAGCATTTAAATTTGTTTCCAGGTCACAAAAATGATCATTCAAGGTCATCCGGGGTCATTTGAGGTCACAAATCAAAATAATAATAGTGGTGGACGGAAAAAACCATGCTGAGTGAAGAATTGCTTTCTTTGCCTAGCCGACTGGAAAAATAAATAAGACAAAGCTATTTTATCAATGTTGATTTTTATTATTAAAAACGCAGCTATAAATGCTCAGATAAATAATAAAACATTTTCAGATCTAGTCCAAAGAACCAGCATTCGAAGTTATCTCCTCGCCAATTTTCTGCATCAAATCGAGGGCTTCTTCCTTGATGTCAGAAGGATCTCCGTAGAAATGCATCGGTATAATGATGCTGCCCGATTCCTGCATTTGCGCTGCTGCTCCGGATTGTCTTTCTTGATTCGCTCCTTCCCCAAGTTTGTCGAATATTTCCCGGTCGATGTATTCAAATTCGTATGTTATTTCGATATCGTCCCAAGAAATTGGAATACTTGAACTCATAATTGAGTTATTTGTCTTCTGAGAATTCTTACCTATATGTGCCGTTAACATTACCCATATCCAAAGTTTCCGTTTCATTCGACATAGATCTTATCATCTCAATGGTTGTCTCATTAGTCGGCGTTTCCGGGGTCTCAGAAGGAATTCGGTTAGTCAAGTCGCCGTAGAATCGGTCTGCAAAATGTTTTCCGAAGATTTCAGCGATTTCCGCGGTTTGCTAAAAGAAAAAAAAATTGTCTTATTCTGAGGAAGAAAGACTTGAACATACTATTTCTTCTTGATTGTGACCCCATTTGACACCGGCGTAAGGATTGTAGGGAGTTGAAGTTCTTTCCAGAGCATGGTACGAAGAAGAGTTAGAAGACGAGTTTGCTTTCGATAAAGCCAGCTTTCCAGCCAACTTGAGAATCAAACAGCTAAAAATTTGCATTTGAGAATGTAAAAAGAAGGAATCTTACAGAGTCAAAAGAACTACCACAATTCCCCCACTGCTGGACTTTTTTGATCGCTTTTTTGGAACTACAGGATTTCCAGCATTTGAAGGTCTAGGCCCACGACCAGCTGGGGTACCGTCTTCAGGAATCACTTGGACCACAATGTCACGGCGAGAAGAACTCTTTAAAAAAGTTAGTTTATCATCAAAGGAAGCAATTCTCTCACCTCTAATTCTTGGTACCGTGGTGGCGGATTTCCTCTCTTATATTTTGGAGGAACATCGGCTTGCCCATATCGTGGAATACTCCGATAGGGACGGAGGCCTTGAGAATCTTGTCGATCTCGCATTTAAACTTCAGCGGTGATTTTTTCTCTGGCAGCGTGTTTTTATAAATACGAAAATCGGATAACTGGAAAAATGATGAAATTTCAACTCAATTGGAAAAAACCCGCGGGCTCGAGAGTTCAACTATGAGTTGACACTTCTAACCGACTAAAAATCAGATTAAAATCTTTATTTTTGAAAAAAAAATAATTATAAAAAAGGGCGTTCGGAATAACTTAAATTTTATTTTAGAACTTATCTGGCATAAGGTCCTAGAATTAATAGTTAAATTAGAGATCCCCTTGAGGCCGAAACGCGTCCCAAATAAATTTCAATCATCAATAAATTAGCTAAGTTCGGTAGAGTTCAAAAAACAATGCTGTTTTTCTTTCAGTAAGTTCCTTTGAGTACGTCCACTTCGCACCATTTGTCCAACTTTACCCTGAAGATGATTTAGCCCAATAAAACCAGCTTATCACTTCGCGTTAATTTTTCTAAGCTCCAGTTCACCATCACATCAGAAACGCCTAGAAACATTTCTAGCGAAGAAAAGAGTTAACACTTCAACGAAAAAAAAATACAGAAAAGGATGAGTTTTGCGGGAAAGCTTTCACCAGACACAGCGAAAATTGGCGGAATCGGCCGATTAGAGGTCCAGGTTGCCGACGAAAATGCTCAAGTCCAGTGGTTCAAAAGTACGATCAAAATTAAATTTTTTGATAAAATATTTTTCACTGCGAAAATCTGAAATTTCCAACAAATGAAATTTAGACGGAGAAAAGATGGAGGACAACTCGCAACTTCTCAAATTCGAGATGGTTTCCAACGGCCCCCTCCGAGCTTTGATTATTAAAAACTGCGTCGCGTCCGACTTTGGCAAATACGAAGCTGTTGTTGGAGAAGAACGAGTCGAAACTATCTTTAGAGAGGAGTCTGCTGATGTAAGGAATTCCTTCCTCCTCATTAAAAATTTTCCCTTAAGGCTCCAGCGCCTGCTGCCCCTGAAGCAATAAAAGAAGCCACTCCTGTCTCTGAAGCTTCTAAAAAACCTGTCGTTACCGCCGTTGCCGACGCTGTTGTTGTAAAAAACATCCCTAAAAATGTCTATGCAAAGGATTTGGCTGACGCTGAAGCTCGAGTCGGAGAAATTGCAGTCTTTGAAACTAAGGAATGGTTCGAAAAGGTCTTTAGTTCATTGAGAGCAGTGGTTTTATTTATTATTTTCTTCAGTCAAAATTGCGGCGATTTCATCGTCAGTTATTCTTGAAGATTTTTTAATATCATGTTTTGATTGAAACTTTCTTACCTTTGAAATTTGTTTGAAATCGAGTCTCTCACCTTCCCGTCGTAAATAAGTACAGTTTGCCTCCGAGAATAAAACAGATTAAAGCCCAGAAGAACGTTCATCATCACTGATTTTGGTTAAAAAAATGAACTATGGATCTATCAACTACTTATATTCTTATATTTCTAACCCGTTTCCTAGAAGAAAAATAATAATTGATTGGATACATCTTTCTCTTTCCATCTCGCTTCAATCGCTTCTCTAAAAAATATGATTTTTCATATATCTCATTTTCTATTTTATGTTCAAAACCAGGTTTTATACAAGCAGCAAATTTTTGCGGTCAAAGTAAGTCACGTTCGAATCAAATTACCAATGATTCTGGCAATATTAGCAACATAATTTCTAATGCTAGAATCTCTCTTCTCTTTATCGCTCTACTAATGTTCCGGATACGAGAGCAAAGGCATAATTAACGAAATCTTCACTCTTGCCTCGGGTAAAAATGGGTAAAGGTATTATCTCTATAGAATTTCGCCGCTCGGTAAGAAATAAAAAAGACGATTAATGTACCAGATACGAGAGCAAGAGCATTTTTTTTCATCACTCTTGCCTCGGGTAAACTCTGAAAATCCTTAAATCGACCGTCGTTTTAGAACTTTTAACCGAGCGTTCTACAAATTTTAGCGGGTAGTCGATGCGGTTAGTCAATGCTGAAAATTTCAACTTGAAAGAGTCAATTTTCTTCTCTTCGAAATTATCTCTAAATCGTAAAAAACGAAGGGCAGACTCATTTTTTAGTCTCTTTATAATTTTACTGGACATCGCGCGAGGCAAGAAAACTTCAAAAAAAGACAGTTAAAAAACTCATCGGCGGTGAAAAGTAAATTGATCGGGAAAATAATCACCGACCGAGTGGCAAGGAAATCTGAACGAGATGTTAAAAAAGACACTTTAGCAATGTAAAGCTGCCAATTTTCGAATCATAATAAGCTTGCCGCTGATCTGCCCGTCCAGTGGTTTTTCCGAGGCAACGAGATCACCAAGGAAAAATACTCAATCCTCAAGTTCGAAGCTGTTTCGGAAGGACTCGTTCGCAAGTTGATTGTCAAAAATATTTCTGCCGATGATTTCCAGCGTTTCTCTGTTTCCTGCGAAGGACAGATCCAAAATGCCCATTTGAAGAAGCAAGCTCCTTTTAAAAAGCCACTCAAGGTTTGAAAATGTCACATAATTGAATTAATTTCGCCTCTAAATTTCAATTACTAGCTCGGCCCTTCTTTCCGTTCAGAACAAAGTTTTTTTTATTCGTAAATTTCAGGATGTGACAGGCATTCAAACGGAAATCCAATTGCTCCAGTGCACCCTCAACTCCGCCCAACCTGCCAAGTGGTTTTTCGGCGATAAAGAAATCACCAAAGAAAACTTTTCCATCCTCAAGTTTGAACCGCGAGAAGACAAGAATAACGTACGAACTCTTATCATCAAAAACATTCGAAACCAGGATTATGGACAGTACTCCGTTGAAGGTATTTTATCGGTTAGGGTTAGGGTTAGGGTTAGCAAAAATTTTGTCTTGCGAGAAAATGATCAACCTTATTAAGGTGGTATATATCAAGAATCGCCATTTGGCTGTAGCTTTTTCTCCAAAATTTTACAAAGTGACACCCTTATTTTTCTCCGGTAACTAAAAGTTTGGACCTTTATTTATCTCCTATGAAAGCCGAAATTCCTAATTTCGATCATTTTTTTTCACAAGATTCATCATCAAAGATCCCGATTAGCGAAAATCTTATTTTGACGACAATCGAAGGTACCAGATTTGCATTGTAGCCTCTCGAAATCTTAAGAAATCTTAATTTCTGGCTTCCATTGAAAATAGATAATTGCCTTAAATGAATTCTGAGCAGGAAAAATAAGGGGGTAACTATCACAAAAATTCGAAAAAAGACTGCAAGGAAATCAGATTCTTGATATCCTCCCCCGAGGGGCGTTATAGTGCTTCTAGTGTAAAGATTACAGTTGATAATTTACTGCGCGAGTTCGTACCGTATCTCCGAGTCGACACGTGAGGACGGGAGGTACATCCTAACACGTTTTCAGTATCTGGCGAGCGAGTTAGCTGTTCCCTCTTAGCGCCCTTCCCCTTCGTGTCCAAAGTTCGCGATGCAGAGGGCCCACGCGGCGGAATCGCCAGGTGATTTATCGAAAAAAAGAAAGTAGCATTAATCATCGTAAATTATTTTTTCAGATTTGAACTCATGGTCTACCCAAATACAGAAGTCACGTGGTTTCTTGGAAACACCCCCATTACTCCCCAGAATTTCAGGTTCTTTCGGACAGTTTTGGATGATTTTGACTTGATTCAAAAATTAAGCATTTTGAAATACGAATCCTCCGAACGACGGGATGTCCGACAACTCCTCGTCAAAAACATCAACGACGACGACTACAACGTTTTCATCATCGGTGCTGAGGCCAATGGACACAGATGCAACGCTCGAGTCATCGAGGGACCGTAAGTTTTTCACAACAACCCTTTGCTAACGCAACTGTCAAGTGGTCTCGGTCAGTCCAGATTTGCTGGAAAAGAAATCGCTCCCAAACGAACCATCAAAGAAGCTCCAGAAGTTGACTACGATAGCAAACCCAAAGATCCTAAATTTGGTGTCTTTGGCCTCAAGGTTCCCACTGGTCTTTCTGAAAAGGTAGATTTTTTGTGCGAAAATGGATCATTTGAAATGATTCATTTCTCATTATTTTAAGGCGATCAAAGAATTCGTCCTCCAAGCCGCCATGGAGCGCGACATGGAACTTGGCCGAAAATGGGTCCGAAACGGTTCATCTTTCTGCCGAAACCCTTCTCTTGCATAAACTGACAAATTTTATTTTCAACTTTGTAAATATACATTTCTATAAACAATTGTCTATCCTCTTCTTCGACAAAACAACAGCTTTCTCCGACGATTTTCTTCTTCGAGTTGATCAGCAAAAATTTCACCCGCGTCAATTTGGCTTACGTCCAGGCCGAATAAGTCGCTCTAGAATTCTTTTTGCAAAGTTGAAATTATATTTTCGTACCAATTTTTCGAAAAGCAAGTCTAAGAAATCTTCCACGAATCTGATTATGGTCATTCTCTGTCATACTAACACGCATTGGTGAGTTTTGAAATGCAAACTTGAATTCGTTTGTAATGATTAACTCCCTTCGCATACAAACCCATCCACCCTTGCCAAATTTTGAAAAAATCTGCAAACAGAAGTCATTTTTTCAAAATCTCTTCCATTTATTGCAGTTTCTTTCCGACAAAAATAAGACAAATGCTGCAGACTTTTTTTTTTAATTTAGATTAAAACAACATTTATTCGGATAAAAATGCCGTTTCCATCTTCGAACTTGATAAAATTCATTTCGCCATTGTCAATGCTGATGAGTTCGTGTCGATTGGTGACAGTTCCACTGCTAGGATTAATCTCTTCCGCCACTGCTTTGAACGGAACTTTTCCATCTGGGACAAATTAAGATATTTTAGTCAGTCTGTTGGTTTTACCTCTCTTTGCAAGGGAGAAAAAATTCTCCATCTCCGCCGAAAAATTTTGCAGCAGTTTTGAATTGTAAAGTCCAACCTTCTTTTGTGCTGTTAAAATTATTCTTCCACAGAAATTTGAGATTGATTGATCGCTGTCCAAGTGAGAGTGCTTTGAGAACATTGCTGATGTCGGTTTCGTCCATGAAGTCTTTTTCCCGCTCCCAACTAGTTCTACTCTGGGCTCGGCAAACTGCGTAGAAAACCTGAGTCAGGGTCGGAAAGAGCTGAAACGGGGTTTAACCAATCTATAACAGTGATTTTATGGATCAGGGTTCTGATTGGTCGGTAGGCAACATTAACCAATCTTATTGGTAATCAAAGAATGCACTTCGATAAATTGGTTAAGTCCTCCAATGGCGACTTTTCATTTCAGCTCTTTCAGACCCTGACTCAGGTTTTCTACACAGGTTGCTGAGCCCAGGTTCTACTATCGTCTCCGTAGAAATTTCCGATCCCTCCGATTCTTCCTATTTCTTCTCTCATTTTTTCGAGCTCTTCTTTGCGCAATTCATCTGCGCTTTTTGGACAAGGCTCTGTCCGAAGTAGCAAAAGGTCAAGTTCTTCTTGCAAAAGCGGAGTTCTCAATAAGAGCTTTTGCAGAACTAAGTTAAAATCAATTAAAGGGACCACCCGCACCGAGCTCGCGCCGCTTTTCAAAAGCGCAGAACTTTTCCTTATCTTCCTCAAACTTTTATGAATTTATCAGATCTAGTGTAGTTTTTCCTCCTCTTTCATCTCCAATTCGAATTTTTTTCACATCATGATTTTTGAATTCAGGAGAGAGAAAAAGTGAGGCTCAACTTCAAAAGGCATCAGCTCCTAAAGTACTTGTCAGTTGAAGTTATAAATACCATCATCGAAAAGCGCATACAATTTTGACCAGGTCTACGTTCGCGTGGTCTTCAAATTTTGTTTGTATACGATCGTAATCGGGGGATTTATCAAAGAACACCCTTCGCGCGGCGGGGAATTTGCACTATTTTGGCTGAATGGGCACGCTCCACGCTGCGCGACGCTGGTTTCACACCGAGTTACTGTACTAATCCCCTGATTTTGGCCAGATTTAAGCGAAATTCGAAGACCACGCGAACGTAGACCTGGTCAAAATTGTATGCGCTTTTCGACGAAAAACCTGAAAATATCAACAAGGGCAACAAGGGCAGCAAGGGCAACAAAAACAACAATGCTAGAGATGTTGGCGCGAAAGATGAGGAGTTTCCTAGAAGACAGGCGCGGAGCGCATACTCTCTTTGATTGATCTTCGTTTCGCCCGGTTAATCTAGATGCTGTTAAGTTTCTTTTGTTTTTTCATAAAAACAGATAGTTGCAATGACGAATCTTAACGATAAAACAGGGCGATTCGTGCATTTTGGCTTGGAATCAAACGCGTTGGAAAAACAATTTCAATATGAAAATAAAAGGACTTTCGTTTTTCGTCTGTCCACTTTTGAGGATGATCTTGATCCAAGAAATTACTTTCATACTTATTAATTTCTAAAACGGAGAAAAGGGATTAAATCAACAATTCTAGAGACGCGCGTTCAAAAACAATAACAGAAGCCAACTCAAAAACAGCGCAACCTCTCAAAACCTGAAAATATCAACAAGGGCAACATTGTTGCCCTTGTTGCCCTTGCTGCCCTTGTTGCCCTTGTTGATATTTTCAGGTTTTACCCTTTTCGATGAGGGTATTTATAACTTCTACTGCCAAGTACTTTAGGAGCTGATGCCTTTTGAAGTTGAGCCTCACTTTTTCTCTCTCCTGAATTCATGATATGAAAAAAAATCGAATTGGAGATGAAAGAGGAGGAAAAACTACACTAGATCTGATAAATTCATAAAAGTTTGAGGAAGATAAGGAAAAGTTCTGCGCTTTTGAAAAGCGGCGCGAGCTCGGTGCGGGTGGTCCCTTAGCAAAAAAGCTCTTTTCCTTGAATTTGTTTCGTTAAATGTATTTTCGAGATTTCTGAATTCTTCTTCCAGAATTGTCGAGTTTCAAAAAGAAGAAGTTTCAAATTTAAAGTTAATTCTAACAGTAAAGAAATAAAACGTCAAAAATTTGAGACTTTTCCAAGCCACTCGCATTTTTCGCTTTCTCGAAGCATATTATTGATTGCTCCTTCTGTCGCTTCAAGTTGATATTCTAGCTCTCGCAAGGCGTTTGATCGGTAGTAGAATTCTTCTGTCAGATTATTTCTTTTCTGAAATATCATGATATTAATTCAAGTTATGTTTTTATTGTTTTTACTTCGATAAGCGCCGTGCGTTCATTTTCCAAATCTTTCTTCCAATTTTGTGGTCGATTTTCGATAACTCCGTAGCAAGGACAATTTGAAATTTCATTTTCGTAAGCCTTTCTTTTTGGATTGAAGATTAAGCGTTAAAAGTTTTGCCTGATCCAGGAATAACTTGAAAATGTATTTATGCTCAAAAAATTGAATCTTTCATCAAAATAGAAATAAATCCATTCCTGCAGGACTCTTTGCAATCTTCATTGTCACATTTTTGAAGACACTCATTTTTTACTCTCCTAAAATTTTCGCTGCATTTTTCTGATTTTCTTCTCAAACGAGTGCCTTCCGCGCAGAACTCTTCGCAATTAAAATCATTCGAGCAAACATGTATTTTCTCTGCTTCTACTAAGACTTGAAGAAAAAGAATACATAAGCCGAGATCAAGTCTTCTCATTTTTCTGCGCGAGCAAAGTACTCTTGAATGTTTTGATTCTGTAAATTGAGCCTCTTTGCTCCTCGGATCTGCACCTATTTTGCATCATCTGCAGTTTTTTTCGTTAGGTAGGGATTTCAAAATCTGAGTGATTTTTATTTCAGTGATTTACGAAAACTACAGCAATAGAATATTGAGTCTGACAGTATTACCCCTCGCGTCTTTGAAGTTAACGCAGTGCTCTTCATTTTCAACGGAGCTGAATAAATCTAGCCGCGAAAGAACTTCGCCCTCGCTCAAGAAAATGTGCTCAATCAACGCCTCGAATGGAACTTGTTTGTCTTAAATAATCAAAATTAAAAAAATGATAATTGTTGTTTTTATACCTTCGTTTGCCAGGCAAAAGTATGATTCATTGATATCCAAATCATTTGGGTGATCTCTCGTGTGTTTAAACGTTATCTTCCATTTATCTTCGGCAACTTCTCTGTCGTAATTGAACCAAAACGTTTTACAGGGACGAAAAAGCTTATTTTTGAATCAAAGATAGGATTTAATCCCTTTCCTTGAGATTGAGTTTTGTCTCACCAAGAGACAAAAGTCTCAGCACCTTTGAAATTGCTTCTTCACCCATTGTTCCCCTGACACTTCTGCTGTCTTCGCCGAAAAAATGCCCAGATCCTCCGAGAGCTCCAACTTCCTCTCTCAAGCTGTCTAGCTTGTCTTGTCGAACATCATCTACTGTCTTCGCGATTGAGCAATTCTCCAGTTTATTCGAAAGAAAATTGATTACCTCCTGCAGAATTTCGTTACTTCAAAAAAGCTTGAGCAAAGCTAAACCAAATTAATATGTCCTTTCAAGCTCCCTTCCTTGTTTCGGATTCGTTGATTCTCTTGTTGAGCTCTTGATTCTCTTTTGACCAATAGTTCACTTCCCGATTGTTGCTCTCACATTCTCTTTGTTGATTTCTGATTGCGTCCAGCTCATTGTATCTTTTTGCAGCCGCTTTCAATTTTTCCTCGTTTTGCATTATTAGCAATTTTGCCTCCTCATTTTTTGTCTGTTTAGCCTCGATCTCCTTTGAAATAGAAATTTTAAATTTAGATTTTTTCATAGAATTATTTTACCTCTGTGACGCCTTCAATTTCATTTATGATTTTTTGAATCGATTCATTTTCTCGATCTAGTGGGAAAGAGGTGATAATGTCGTAGCATGGGCATTTCTCAGTTTCTTGTATGTAAGTGTCTCTTTTAATGAATTGTTAAGGGGGTAGAAACAACTTTTGCCCAAGATGGAATACTAAAGATTTTTTCTAAGATTCTGAAAGCCTAGGACACAAAGAATAAAAGCGCTATCAAAAGTTACCCCCTTATTATGTTGGAATGTCCTTTATATTGCCTTTAAAGTTGGAGTTTTGGGAAAAATTTTAAATTTTCGAAATTTATCGAGGCTTAAATTCGTGAAATAAAGGGTTGAACGCCGATTAGATAGATTTGTTTGGATCACATTATAATCGGGAATAACTTTGGTAGGACGATAACTTAAGGGTATCACGAAAAAATTCTGTTTCAAAATCAAAATTTTGAAAATTTGATACAGAAGTTGCAATCGAACTCCCAACACTATCATTTTTTATGATTACGCAATCTACATCATAGATGCTCCTAGAAAAAGGGTTGAAGTATCTTAAAATGAAATAATAAATTCTCGGTTAATCACATGTCTCGAGATAATCGTGCTTGAAAATGGGCGAAAATCGGGATTTTCGACGAGATGGGTTGCTGATTCGCTCTCTACCGATAAACTGGGTAAACAAAAATTAATTCTAAAAACAGATGTTCTTAGATCTAAGATAAATCTAACTAAAATCGAAGAGAGAATTCAAAAATTTAAGGTTGGCTGAGCTCGGGCGCTGTTCAAAAATCGGCTTTTTCAAAAGCTGTTTCTACCACCTCAAGCTGATTGAAAAAATGTAAAAATAAGACTTTTAAAGGTATGATTGCAATATTTTCCGATTTTTCTCTTCCGAAATGGTCATTAACAATCCGTTCATGCAGTGATTGACGCAAGGACCGCTGTCTTCACAGCTTTCGATACACTTATTTTCGATCTTATCGTTTCTTTTCATGCATCTCTCAGATTTTCTTTTCAAATCTGATGCCTCCTCGCTTTGACAAAAGCCAGCGCAAGTGAAGTTCATCGAGCATATACTTCCGTAAGTCGAGTTTCCAGTCGATTTAGCAGAAGTGCAATGAAATAAGAGAAATATTTCGAGGCAGAGAAACCTCATGATGCTTTGACCGTAAACCTGTTTATAGCAACAAAAGCGAATCATGCTTTTTGTGTTGAAAAAACTAAGTCAAAAGAGGCGTTGAATGATCATTACTTCACAGAGGATTATGGTTTGAGTTATGTCGCTTTTGTTGCTATTCTCAAGTTTGTCTTTCTCAAATTTTCCGGAAGGTAGCGAAAAAAGTATCTTTCAGTCTTTGAGCACTCTATGCTGATCTTTGCCCCGTCCGTGAGATCTTCACCTTTAATGCATTATCTGCAGTTTTGGGCAGTTCTCAATTTATTTGAATGGTTACTTTTTTGATGCAAAAGAAGGGTTATCCTTATTAAAATTGGCCTCAGACTACGATAATATGCGTAAACACGTGATTGACAAAGTTGAGACTAATTAATTAAAAAAGTTTATTGCCCTTCAAACAGTTCAAGTAGCGAATATCAACTTCAATTACAAATTCCAACAGAGATCGACGTGTACAAATAAATTAAAACTGTATCTCTTGCCCCCTCTGATAAGTTGAAATCACGTGTGCGCTGAGAGGAACATCAATCATTTCTTCAGAAGCCAAATTTACTCAACCAAACACGCTGAAAATAACTTCTTGAAAAAATTCGATTTTTGAAGATAAATTATTCCTGATCATTTTTATTAATATTTATCCATAATAATTTATTGATGGTGCAACTGACCCTCTGAACGAGTAAACAGTATTCTGAAATAGAAGTTTTATGGGCAAAAAGCAATTAAAAATATCAACAGCTCAATGGCTCTATAAATCAATGGCGATAATAGAATCCCTCGAGCCAGAGATCTCCAAGTTACCAGAGCTCATCGAGGGCGGCGAAATGATGATTCTCGGAATGGCTTTTTGACCAAGAACGACTTTTGAAGACAGAAGATTTCCAGCACGGTCGGTGTAGAAAAGTCCAAGGCGTTTCTTTCCAATTCGCGCTGGGTAGGAAGAAGGGTTGGAGAGATTTCTGATCGCTTGAAAACGGGATTGAAAAAGATGTCGAAGAAGATAAATTCCTGTCTAGCCAATCATCTTAATTATTCGAAAGAAACGGATAAGGTGGACTGGGCGCCGTCTCGTTTTCGCAGCAATTTGCGAAAAAGAGTAATTCGTCGGATAATCTCGATCTGCAAAATTATTCGATTAGATAGTTTTTCTTACTGAAACTCGCAAGACCCCGCTCCTTTTCCATTATTTCCGAAAATATAAAGCAGTTCTTCTTCGACTGATCCGTCTTCTGAAAGGATTCGAATCTGCCCTGAGCCGTATTGAGCGCCGCCGAGCCTTTTGTACAGGCAGACCCCTACTGAGATGATCACAATCGCCAAAAGGACGCAGGATCCAGTTATCACCACGAGAATTATTCTGAATGAAATTAAATTTGAAAGATTCAATAATCAGAAAGAAACTGTATTTAGTAATAAATTAACACAGTGACGCTCTTATTGAATATTATCAAAAATGGGATGATGTCTGGAACCGACAAAAATTTCGACAAATTTTGCGTTGCCGGCTTCTCGGTTGCTGATTGGCCGGTTTGCCGAATCCAGGCTTCTGATTGGTTGAAAGTTTCTAAGCAAAATTTGTCGAATTTATTTTGTCGGTTCCAGACACCTCCTCAAAAAGACAACTAAAACTTCTTACCGTGGATTTATTTGATTTTGAACCCCGTCGTTCTGCAAATTCGATTCTGACAGTGTCAATTTTCGTCCATTTTCAATAATCATGTCACTCAATCGTTTAGCGACCTCCTTTTCATTCCCTTCCATTTGACTTTGACCATTAGAAACAGTTTTCTAGGGAAACAATTCGCTCTTATTGCTTATTTTCTTCCTTGATTTCAAAATCTAAATTTGTCAAAAACGGTGTTTTGGTTTATCTTCTTTTTCTGATCTCAGCGACAGGGCTGGACTCCTCTTTTTTTTTAATTCGCCTTACCCCCTTTGGCGCCCTCAAACTCGTCAATTTTTATCTTTTGTGAGTGATGAAACCAAATAAATTGAACTTCTGTTTATTCACTATCTTTTTATTCAACTTTTTGGAGTGAAAGAAAAATGCCTCGATGTGGCTTTTTATTAAGAAAAAGGCAAAAAATGATGAAATGGTAATGACAGAAGTGACATTATTTATTCAGTTTCTGTTGCCCTTTTCTGCATTCAGCGGTTACAACAAGTTCATTATGCTTATTGATTTTTGCAAAAGGAATATTTATCCAAGACAGTTATTTGTATTACGAACATGCGTTTTATATCAAAAAAGATTTTTTTTTGGAAAACAATTTAATTCAGCAGTTTTGGGTGCCTCTTACTCTACAAATTACGCCTCGTTTTTCTTCGCAATCGGTGTTGTTCCACTTGTTTGATTCAAGAATTTCGACAGAGCCCGCAAAACTTTCATCACTTTCTAACGGAAGGGTCGAATTTTCGCATTTTAAAATGAGATCAAAGGCCTACTGTAGATAATGAAATCTTTCTTATTAACAGAAATTGACAGATATTCGAATTCTGATGATTTTTAGAGTCAATGAGCGTGAGTGCGCTTCGCGCCTGTCTTAAAGGAAATTTTACGGGTGATTCATTCATTTGTTATAAAAATATATTTTTGGCTCTTGAGCATCGATTGACTTCCGAACAAATCACTACTAAGTCGTTGTTTACTTTTTACTTTACTTTGCGGATAGCAAAAATCGAAAAAATCCGAATCGTTCGAATACCAAAACCTTCATTTTCTCTTCCAATGATTCGGGAAATCCAGAATCATTTGAGATCCCGAACTGTTCGAAGTTTCAACCACTTGAGATCTTATATTTCTGACAATTTCTACGATGAAACTTCTGAGTTTCTTGTCCGTAATTTTGTTTACAAAATCATTGAATAAATGATTCAAAAGCTTAAATCTATAAGTAAAAATAAACGATGTTTATGTTCCATAGATACCTAAGTAACACTGTTAAAGAATCTTTTGCGAGTTGACCCTCGATCTTGACAACATTTTTTATATCTTCAATGCAAATATTGACAGCGCCAAACCCCGCCATCTCAGCATAATTCTCAAACCAAATTCATACGTACAAAAGATCAAGCTATAAATAGAAAAGTTGAATTTTCGCTTGAAATTTTCGAAAATGATTGGTCAAATTGTGCATGGACATTATCGAGTTTTACGAAAGCTGAAGGAGGATAGAGAGGGGAAAATTTACTTTGTCGTCGAGGACCAAAAAATGGTAAAAAACGTTGATAAAAAATGATGAAGAAATTTTTATCAAAAGGAAATGAGCTGCGGATGCTCAAAGGAATCGGTCTTCTGGGAGAAAAGGAAGAACACGATGCGAATCTGGAGATAAATTTGCTTCGACAATTAGGATCGTTTTCACCGTTTCATTTTTAAAGGATCTGATTTCGAGCTTTTGAAAATCGAGTAAAGATCATGACTACGTTGTAAAACTTGTGGACGATTTCAAGTTCACCGCTCCAAACGGCTTGAAGTATCACGCTTTGATTTTGGAATATCTCCCTGGCGGCGATTTGGCGCAGTTTTCGAGGATATGCTCAACAACCGTAATTCTTACCTAAATACAAAAGAAAAATATATATTATTTTCAGAAGGGAGCGAAAACGAGCTACCATGGGCGCAAAACGATGCCTTACGAATTTCTGCACAACTAGTTCTAGCGCTAGGTAAGACTTCTTAGATATCAACAGTTCTTACTTCCAAATTTCAAGACTACATTCACGGAAAGAATATCATGCATCGGGATATCAAGCCGGAGAACATCCTCATGTCCGCTGATAGACAACAGGTAACGAAATCCATTGTTATTTTGACAAACGATTTAGGTGAAAATTGCCGATTTCAATGTTTCCCGCGCCGTTGCAGAAACAGTTCACACTGGCGTCGCTAAATGGGAAAACCTGAAATTGTCAACAAGGCCATCAAGGCCATCACGGCCATCAGGGCCATCGAGGCCATCAAGACCATTTTAGAAATCAACAAAAGTCCCCATAACCTGAATTTGTCAACAACGCCATCAAGGCCATCAATTCTAGAAAGTTGTTTCTTGGGTTTCCCATAAGACAGGCGCGGAGCGCACACGCGCTTCTTTTGCTTTCTGATCGTCGATTTTTGCTTCAAAAGTACAAAAATTGATCTGTTTCCAACGCAGTGTCCTTTACAACAGCTAAAGCAATTTTTCATTCAAATATTGAGTTAATAATTCATATAATCTGAGAACAAGAACGTTTCAAAAACCGCGCTTATAAAAACAACAACAAGCAAATCTACAAAACTTCTCAAAACCTGAAATTGGGAATTGATGGCCTTGATGGCTTTGCTGGCCGTGATGGCCTTGATGGCCTTGTTGACAATTTCAGGTTCGTCCCGCTAAATCAATGGACTACTTGGCGCCTGAAGTGATTAAAAGCCAAGGAAATTCAGCGCCTCTCTCGTTTTGTCAGGATGTTTGGGCGGTTGGCATCATTTTTCAAATGCTGTGCACTTTCAGGAAAGATTCGACAAAAGTTTAACAGTCAATAATTGATGTTCTATTTGTTCAATCGTGCAAGACATCCGTTTACGGCTGGGAACCCGTTTCAGACAATGACAAACATCGTCTACAAAGCCAGGCGTCCTGCTGAAGTCGTTTTTCCGGCGATGGAAAGTCTGGTCCGGCGATGTCTTGTCGTTGAAGTCGGTGAACGAGCAGAAAGCGCTGCTGCGTTGATGACTCACCCGGCCCTGGTCAGTTTGATCGAGCAGTTGAAGAATCGAGTTTTGCCAGCTGATCTTACTTTTGGGTTGACTAGAATGGAAACGACGATGAAAATCAACCAGTTGCTGGATCGGGAAAATATCGAATCGAAGAATGAGCTTTCTAAGGAGAAGAAATCGTCGAAAAAGTTGAAAAAAAGAAATTGCTGATTTGAAACGACTCAACAACACGTTCATCAACGACATTAACAAACTCAAACGACAAACTCAAAAACTGGAAAACGATCTTCGCGAATCAAAAAAGCCCAAACCTGTCGCCCCACGAATTCCGGAAACTGATCGATCCGAAATTGTAAGATATTTTGGTTCGAATGCCGCGATTAATGGATTTGGTCATTTCTTTGGTCTCGACTCTAGCTCTGTCCGAAATTCCCACGACGAGAATGCAGTGCGAAGAGTGCTTCGAGCAATGGCGGCTGGATTCTCGGAGTTTAATTTGAAGGAATTGGATAAAATTGCATTTTTTAGTTTTTTTTGATTTTTGTTTCGACGCGATTTTCATCCAAAATAAAGTTTTTTTACGACAAAAATTTAGAAGTGACAGAAGCTGGATGGACAATCCGACAACAATCGCACTTCGAAAACTTCGGCGGCGACGGCTTCTGGAAAATATGGATTCTTTTCAACGGTATTGATTGTTGAATTTGAGATTTTTATTTTTTTAGGAAAACGCGTCGACTTTCAAGTTGACGCGGACGATATTAACTATTTTACTGGGGAGAGCAAAAACTCAGCAAAGAAGTTGACGCCGGATTCACAAGGAATGGTCAAGCTCAAAGGAGAAGAAGGTGTTGTCCGCTGGAATATAACTGTAAAAAAGTAATTCTGTACATCTTAATAAAAATTTCGATGGATTTTTAAGAAATGAATTCTTTCATATACGCGATTCTCATCAACGAAAATTAACTTTTAGGGAGTTGCCAGTCGCCAATGATTGTCAAACTATATTTCATTTATTTTCAATTTTAGATAACTCAAAAAGATTTTCAATTATTCATTCTTTTAAATTGATTTTTATTTAACCAAGACTCTTCGTAGATTTCAAAGCGCTATTGATCAAAAGAACATGAATTCAAGCTGAAGACACTCAGTCTTATTTACAGTCCATTTTTCGCAAGATTTCAAGGAAATATCGGCAACTCATTTATGAAGCTAAGCAATGTGAGTATTTTGAAAAGAAGAAAAAAAAATAGAAATTCACAGAAAAATTTTCCTGTTCAAACCCCTTACGCCAATAAAAGTCCAGAGCATTCCATTTCTCATGCATAATTCATGCGAAAAACAACTGCCGCTGCTGGTTTCGTTCTGCATAAAACGGTCGTTACACCCCGCTAAGTCTCAATCTTCTACAAAATTTCAGGAAAAAAGTCTAAATTAACTAAAAAATGAAAATTTTCATCGCTCTCGCATTTTTTAGTGGTTCAATTTCCGCCAGATCCAGCGGCGCTCCAGGATACACTCCAATTCTGCAAAATTTGAAGCCAGGAGGACCTCATGCTAGATTGTGGACGACCAAGTAAGATAGATTAAGATTTAAATCAAGCTTCTTCGAGATTTTTACATGAAAGATTCACAATTTTGTTTACAGAGAAGAATTTGGGCCTGCCCATCACCACATCAGCTCGCGGGCCTTACGGATGTAATAACGTGAAATTTTTTAAGTTTTATCAAGTAGAAAAAAAATTTGTAATAGATGAAGAAAGTGTTATTTTCTTTAAAATCGTCATTTTTCACCCAATTTGAACTTTAATTTTCGAAAAAATCACAACTATTCTCAATTATTGTCAATTTATTAGAAGAATATTTTGTTTAAACAATTTCTCGCAGCAGAAATCATGTTTATATCGGTTTAAGTACAGAAAATCAAATTTCAAAAATTCGATAAATCAAAAATTCCCGACTTAAAATCGGTTTTTTCTTAAGTTAAGATGATCCAATCAAAAAATGTTAGGAAAAAAATGTTCCTTTTTTATCGAGGAATTCAAAAATAAAATCAAAATTT